GGAGCCATTAGGGAGGCTGGGGAGGGTTGAGGCTCTGACCCACATTTCATTTTTACAGGCCTGCCATCTTCTTGCTGAGTCATTCCTTTCTTATCTCAGCCTCTCTAGGCAGCTCTCTTTTTAACTATTTCTCCTTGAGAGGGAATTCTTGTTCCTCTATTCTATAGAGTGGTTCAAAATTTATAGAATCAGCTTTCTTCACCTTGCTGCTTTTCTCAAGGAGCTATGTGTTTACCAGACTTGCATTAAGAAGAATGTCCAATTTTCTAAACATTCTTGAGGTTTAGCAATGGTGGCCTAGTTGCTATTTTGGAATTCCATACAATACTCATGCTGTGATGTTTCCTCCACCTTAGATGGTTCAGCTTTTGATTGGTTGAGCTCAGAATTGTCGTTTTGACAGCCTACAGGTCAGATTCTACAGTTTGTCACATAATTAAAATGCTTATGCTCTTTTGCTCTCAATTAATCCATTAATGGGCCTGCTTAACAATGAAATGTATTCAGCTTCCATATTTGTTATCTCTAATCGGGAATTAAGTGCGTAGATAGTCCCAGTGGCACTCATAGTAGACCAGCATTTGTTTGCGGGAGGGAAGGGAAAGGTGGTAAGGCAAAATCATGCTGCAAATCCAAGTCCTGCTCCCCAAGTAAGTTCCAAATACTGACTGGTATCTCAAGGATGGAAATTTGCTAAAAGCTTAAAACCAATAACCACACTGTCATTTGGTTAAGTGGACTTGTCTTTGGCCTTGCGTGACACCCCCAACCTTCGCTTTCAAAGCACCTGATCCTTTTCTCCACAGTGGACACCTTGGTGTCCCGTGCTTTTGACCCCCTGTGTCGAGGCCGGGTCCAGATGCCGGCCTCTGCTATTTCTTCTTTCTCTCCCTCATCTGTTTTCCTACCACTGGAAACAGTATTACTGTTTCCAATCTGAGTTTGCTCATGCTTTTAAGATTGTCACATGCACCCCAGTGCATTCTTTTCTTCCTCAATCTTCCCGTCTTCTATTCATCTGTTCCTGTCTATGCAATTCAAATGACAACCTCTTACCACGGTGGCAGCCTCTTCGGTGGGTACTGTTGTAAAACAATATAGATCTTTTTCCTCTTTACTCAGAAAAACTAATGTCTTTTGTGGTCAAAAAGAAAATTAGTAGCAGCTGAAAGTGGAATTTTAATGACACTAAGACCTAATTGCTATTCAGCTTTAACTTTAAATCCTACCTCCCTTTCCACAAATTCCTATTAATTCATCAGCTAAATAACGTGGCTGCTACTAAATATTCTGACATCTAATTCTCTGCCTGTGCAGGTTTATTGCCAGGGTGAAAAATACTTTGTCTTTTTACTTTCATTTTTAAGAACAAGCATAATGAAAATATAAAATATTGTTTAGGATTTATCTAAGAAGACTTGGCAGCTTGCTTGAGAAATGGTAGGATGAGGAGATATGAATCAAATCTGGAAGTCCTCTCTTTCAGCCTTAAGTCATTACTTGAATAAGTATGAGCTGATTGGGCATGGAGAAGATCTCTCCATCTATGTTTTTAACTATGATACATATCCATTTATTTCTTTTAAATTTTAACATAAAGGGTAATTTTTGAGATGGCCAAGGACTAGGAATTAGCCATGTAAGCTTGTAAATTGTGATGATTGTCATCCTTGGAATAGGTTGGGTTTACAAAATATCCCACAAGTAGTGGGCTGCTGTTTATTCCCTTCTGAGGTGTAAGCCTGCAATTCTGATAGCTGCTGTCGGGAGGCCATTGGGATGTTTATCAGGGCAGAAGCATCGTCTTATGGATTGAATCAGCAATGGAGGTACCTGCCAGGTGGAGGAAGTCCTGTAATTCTGATTACCTGTGTGCCCAGGATTCACCTCTAGGGTACAAAATTCTGGGTCTAGTTCACAGGATGATTTAATTCCAGTCCAGCTGGATGGCAGTTTCCTTCCGCAGACAATCAGGTTAGTTCAATAACTGAGGCAGGCCTGAGTGTGGATTGAGTTTGCCCATTAGTTAAGTTCAAATGCATAGAAGAGAAATGAGCCATGGGAAGATAGAATCCCTTTGAGAGATGACTAAAGGAGTAAGATTAAAAGAAATAGAATAGTTGGGTATTCACAGATAGGTGCCATCTCTCTCACTAACATCTGATATGATAAATTATTGCTTAATGCAATCCAGGCCTGGGTTTACTTGTTATGCCCAAACTGTAAACATATTTATATGGCTGAGTGATATACAAACAATGTGTAACTTCTTGACTAGGTTTGGGGAGACTGGAGAAACTCCTCTGGCTGCTAAAGGTGCTAGCAGTGTAAAATCCTACTTCTAATCTGCTTATAATACCTAGCTTTCATACTGGGCAGAGGATGTTGGTCTTTTACGTCAAATTTCCCCTTTGGAATCTTAGCCTTTACAAAAATAACTTCAGAATTTCCCTTCTCTTCCTCCCTGCTTCTCTCCCATCCAAAGAAAAAAAAAAAAAAGAATAAGAGAGAGGACTCCTGGGCCTCTCTCATTCAACCTTCAACCTCCAAACAGAATGTGAGTACCACAGTGAATATCTCACTAGACTAATTAGTTTCATTAGCTCATTTCAAATGGTTGTCTTTATGTTTACTTACCATTCTTATCAGTCAGGGGCTCAGCAGGAAATATTAGGCCCACTCAGATAGCACTCTGAAGAGAATTTAATGAAGAGACTATTTACAGAGGGATGGGCAGGGTTAAGGAAACCAACAAAGGATGTTGAAATACCCAGGGCCTAGCCACAGTAGAAAGGTGAAAGATCAAGGGATGCAAATAATGTTCCAGAGCCTGATGAGAGCTGAAGCTGTGGAAGAGGGACTCCAGACAGGAATTATAGTCACAGAGGGATGCAGGAGGCGTGAGGGAAACGGACCATTCTCTCGCCTGTCCTCCTACCTCCTGCCACCCTTTGGCCAAAATCAATCAAAAGACAGAAGACAAGGGGGCCAAGTGATACTCTCTGCAGGGGTCAGCCCCTCCAGGGATCCAGAGACTGGAAGGGAACAGATGGGCCAGGGGAGAAATGGAAACTAAGTAAGGCCTATGCCTTACAGATTATTGAATTAGTACTGGTCAGGTGCTTGGTAATGCCTGCCTATAATTACTCCCATCTTGCAAAGTCTTAGTGCTCTTTACCTAAAGAGACAATCTTTGTTCTTTTGAGAATTTTAAACATAGAAAAGTAGTAGTGTCTTCTCAACAAATGATGCTGGGAAAACTGGATGTCCACATACAAAAGAATGAACTTAGACCCTTGCCTTATACTATATATAATTAAAATGGATCAAAGACCTAAGCATAAGAGCTAAAACTATAAAACTCTTGGAAGAAAACATGGGAGAAAATCTTCATGACATTGGATTTGGCAGTGATTCTTGTACATGACATCAATACCACAGGAAACAAAAGTTAAAAATAGATAAATTGGACTAAATGAAAATTTAAAACTTCTGTGAATCAAAAGGCACAATCAACAGAGTGAAAATGCAACCCATGGAATGGGAGAAGATATTTGGAAATTGTATATCTGATTAAAGGTTAATATACAGAATATATAAGAAACTCAACTTAATAACAAAAAAATAGGTAACCTGATTAAAAAATGGGCAAAAGACTTGAGTAGACATTTCTCCAAAGAAGATGTACAAATGGCCAATAAACACATGAAAAGAGGCTTAAGCTTAGAGGAACACAAACCAAAACCACAATAAGATACAACCTTACATCCATTAGGATGGCTACTATTAAAAAAAAACTCAGAAAGTAAGAAGTGTTGCTGAGGATATGAAGAAACTGGAACGCTTGTACATTGTTGGTGGGAATGTAAAATATGTTGCCACTACTGAAAACAGTATGGCAGTTCCTGAAAAAATTAAAAATAGAATTATCGTATGATCCAGCAATTCCACTTCTAGGTATATACTATGGTCTCTGCAGACCCATGTTCATAGCAGCATTATTTACAATAGCTGAAAGGTGGAAGCAACCCACCAACAGAAAAATGGGTAAGCAAAATCTGGTCTATACATATAATGGAACATTCTTCATTCTACAAGGAAGAAAATTCTGAAACATGCTACAACATGGATAAAATTTGAGGACATTATACTTTGTGAAATAAGCCAGCCACAAAAAGGCATACAGTTGTCCCTTGGTATCTTCCTCGGATTGGTTCCATGACCACCCTCAGATACCAAAATCCGCAGATGCTGAAGTTCCTTAGTTGGTCCTCTGTATCCATGGGTTCTGCATCGGAGGATTCAACCAACTGCAGACCATAAACATAGTAGAAGATCTGTGGTTGGTTGAATCTGTGGATGCAGAACCTGTGGATACAGAAGGCCAACTATATACCGTTTAATTCTACTCTATGAAGTACCTAGACTAGTCAAATTCAGAGACAGAAGGCAGAATGGTGGTTTTCAGGGGCTGGAGAGAAGGGAGAATGGGGAGTTATTGTTTGATGGGTGTCAAGTTTCAGTTTTGCATAATGAAAAGAATTGTGGAGATGGATGGTGATAATGTACAACATTATGAATATACTTAATGCCACGGAACTTATACTTAAAAATGGTTAAGAGGGTAAATTTTATATTATGTGTGTTTGATCACAATTTTTTAAAAAGCTGTAGTAAAGAGCAATTCAGTACCTAAATAGTTAAAACCAAATTTCTCCAACACGATTTTTATTCAAAATAATTTTATGAAACCCATTAATCATTTTCTGAATGAATTCACAATCAAGATGTACTCTTGAGTAACTTGATTTGGTCAGGAACAAAAATCAAAACATGACAGAGTGAGAGCTTCTTGAGGGGACCTCAATAATTAATGAACTTTGAAAACTGCCCTAAGCCTCTATTTATTTATAATGAAAATACTATGCATATTCAGAGCTGTGTGTATCTGCAAGACTCTTTACAAAGCAGATAAGTAATTGAAACACAAATGTGCTCACCTGGGTAGTTAAGGGCAGTGAGGCCAAAGGTCAGGATTCTGTCCTATTCTTCGGATGGTTACTGATTTTTGTTCTCCAGAAATGTTCATTGCTAGTGTCCTATGACTCATAAAAGGCCCCTGTGACATGACTCAAGGCCTTCCTCTGCTCTCAAACTGGAACTTACACCATCAGCTCTCCTGGCTCTCCAACCTGCCAACTTCAGATCTTGGAACTTCTAGCATTTAGAATCATGTGAGCCATGATTCTATCTATCTATCTATCTATCTATCTATCTATCTATCTATCTATCTATCAAATCTCCTATTGCTTCTGTTTCTTTGGAGAACCCTGACTAATATACCTACAATGTTGGAAGGATTTGCAGCTTCTTTTTTGACCCAGATAGCAGCAAAGATTTGTTTATGATGCAACAGAATACTGACAGTATCAAAGGCCAATATGATAATCACTTGAATAAGAGTCAGAAGATAAAGATTCTAACTTCAGTCTGTTACTAACTGGTTGAGTCAGACTGTAGGCAATCCAGACACTACATGGGAACGTTAACTTGGCTGCCTTTCAGACAATCCCAGATTTTAGTGGCTTAAAACAACCATTTATTTAGCTCACGATTCTTTGGGTTGACTGAGCAGTTCTGGTCTGGTTTTGCTGGGTTCCCTCTGGAATCTTGGGTCAGTTGGCAGGTTGGCTGGTACTGAAGGACCAAGACTGACTTCATGTACATGTCTGACAATGAGAGTTGGCTGTCCAAGGCCCCAGGGAACTGGGCCTGGTGTCTCTCATTACCCAGCAGGCCGGCCCTAGCTTCTTTATTGGGTATTCACAGTGGTCCCAAGAGGAGCCCAATGCCCAAGCATTTTCAAGTCTCTGCTGGTGCCACATTTGCTACTGTTCTGTTGGCCAAACCAAGTTACTTAGCCAAGCCTAGATTCAAAGTGTGGAGAAATAGACTCCACTTCTTAATGAGAGGGGCTACGAAATCACATTGCAAGGGGTGTGCACGTAAGGATGAGAATCAGTGGCTGTGTTTGCAATTCACCACACTAAATCAGCCAATTTTACACTCATCTCATTTAGCTCTCCCCATAGCCTTCGGAGGCAGGCATTAGGACTGGCTTGGATTAGATCCCAGGTCTGACTCAAAAGAAGTCCTGTTAGACTCTTTGAATGCTGGTTTGTGTCTTTTATTTCTTTGGAGGTTCCAGAGTCTGGGTACACCTTTCTGACTGAGATAGGTGTCCTGCTAATTTAATTCCAAACACTCATCTGCACAGATGTCATTTCACTCAGGAGGAATGAAGTCGCAGCTACATTCAGTATAATAGCTATAAAGCTAAACTTTTAAGCAGTTAATACATGTTTATGAAACACCTACTATGCGCAAGGCATTTTTTTGCTAGGAAGGGAAGGACCCCTAGTAGAGAAAAGTAACTGAGGAAATTTGGCCATAGGTGTGGATGTAAATAGTGAGTAGTGCCTAAAATACATGGTATATCAGAGCCTGTTATCAATCTCATGGGAAAGCATCATCCATGTGTAATGAACTTTGTGTCAAACCAAGAATTACACGGTTCCTGCCTTCTCCTCATGGTTGTCAAAATCTCTCACCAGGCCCATCCTTTCTCCCTCTTTTGTAGGTCTCATCCCCTAGATTCTGTTAAGACATTTTGACACATGAAGCAATTTCATCTGCTTCCTCACTCATGCCCCTTTTCTTTTAGGAAGGCAGCACCTTCCCCCTTCTTCCCAACTTCCTGTGAGCAGGTTTTATTTCTATATCAATTACTTCTCAGAGACTCTTCCTGAAACACATCCAGGCCAGCCTCCTTGCCTCTATTTATGCCACTTCCCATTCCAGGACTGCCCACCTCCTCCCCTGTGTGCCTCTTTCCTTCTTGAAGACCTAGCTCAACTCTTACTTCATCCACGAAGCTTCTGAGCATCCCTGTCCTGGGACACAGGTTGATCTCAACTGACAACTCCCATGGACTGGCCTGGGGCACTGCTTTATCTGCCTCATGGAGTGAGCCCTGTCTGCCACGAGTGTTAAAGGGGAATGGTAGTCTGCACCTGCTCCCAACTCAGTCCTTCCCCGAGGGCCTGTAACACTAACTCCAGACCAATCAGTGGGACTTACCTTCTCTTGTGTACCTTTAATTCAGTTTTAAAACCTCTGTATCGTCCTGCCCCAATCACAATGCAAATCTCTTGAATAAAGACACCAAGACTTTAACTTTTTTCTATTCCCAGTGCCTGAAACAGACCCCACTTATGTAGGTTGTGTAATCAATGGGGGATAATGGTGACCTGGGTGTTTCCTGTGCTTTACGTCAGAGCCTGCACGATGTGCTTTTCCACAAAACACCACTGTTCCAAACTTGTTCTCAACTAGGTGAAGTATATTGTGATTTTTGAAGGGTATGGGTCGTGGTGAGATTTCTTGCACAGTTCGCTCCCTTGTCTTCTGTTTACTCTTCCCTCTGTCCTTATTATTCAGTGCCATTGGGACGCTTTGCTTATTAAACCTCCTGTCTCTCAAACTCTCTTTCCTTTCTACCAAATCCTGTGCTTATTTCTTTCTAATTCCTTCTGGTCTTCTTTGATCTTCTGAACGTCCTTGCATAACATCCTCAAGTCCTCATATCTTCTTCTAACAGATTTCATACAGTCCCTTCTGGTCATCATTTTAACATTCTAAAAATTTGGTCTTAAATTGCTGTGACTTCCGTGATGAAATCCACTTTTCTGTCTGCGAAGGTAATCTGGGGCTAGAAATTCTCAGTAATCTTTATCTAGTCCTCTGTTCAGATTTTATTCATGACTTGATGCTTGAAATTCCTTTGCAAACAGTTCTTCTGTGGCTTGATTTTTCTGCCTTTGTCCATGAGCTTTTAAGATGATCTCTTCCTAGACTGCAATTTTTATCTTTAATCTCAACAGCAGTATCTGATCCAGGGTATCTATTAGTGGGTGCTCCCCAAAATGCCTTTGATATCTCCTTAGAACAGCTACTATTTGGCTCAGGCAAATCCTGCCTGGACTTTATCAGGCCCTATAAGCCCAATTAATTTCTACCATCATAATCTGAATATAGCTGATTTCTACAAAGATAATGAATGAAGCCAGACCTGATGATCTACTGATTAAGATTCAGCGATCTCGCTGCCTTGGCCTGGGTTCCTGTTCTGGTCAGGGAACCACACCACCCATCTGTTGGTTGTCAGACTGTGGAGGCTGCATGTTGCTGTGATGCTGAAAGCTATGCCACCAGTATTTCAAATACCAGCAGTGTCATCCTTGGTGGACAGGTTTCAGTGGAGCTTCCAGACTAAGACAGACTAGGAAGAAGGACCTGGTCAGTCACTTCCAAAAAAATTGGCCATGAAAACCCTGTGAATAGCACTGGAGCATTGTTTGATATAGCACAGGAAGTGAGAGAAAGGCGCGAAAAGCCCCAGCAGGGTTCCGCTGTGCTGTGTGCTGGGTCGCTAGGAGTTGGAATCGACTCAATGGCACTAACAATAACAACAAATGAAGAACCTCATGAGTCTCAAAGTGTCTGACATTTTGAAGGACCCTTTCACACCATATTGGGTCAAGGCCCAGGTGATATTCTCATGGTCCCAATATTGTCCCTCCTTGGCCCTTATGGCAATTGAAATTAAATGAATATTTGTAAAATCGATTATTTGTATAAACGAAGCGGAACATGAGAACTTAACTGTTGTGCCACCGGGCTGGCCTCTGTGGTTTTGTTTCATTGTTATTATTATATCAGTGGTGCCTTCTACAGCCTGTCTGCTCTCCCCACTTCATGATATTCTGTAAAAATTTAAGTGTTCAATAAAAAACACTGTGAGGGGCCGGCCCCGTGGCCGAGTGGTTAAGTTGCTGCGCTCTGCTTCCGCGGCTCAGGGTTTCACCAGTTTGGATCCTGGGCGTGGACATGGCACCGCTCATCAGGCCATGATGAGGTGGCGTCCCACATGCCACAACTAGAAGGACCCACAACTAAAATATACAGCTATGTACTGGGGGGCTTTGGGGAGAAAAAGAAAAAATAAAATTAAAAAAAACCAAACCACTGTGAGTTCAAGGTGCTGCCACCTCAACATGCCTGAGAAGCCCTGTTCAACCTGTTTTTCCTTACACAAAGTTGGGGAGAGGGTGTAGGTACATGACATGGGGGATGGGAGCACACATTCTTTGCTTTGCCTGAGGTCTACACTCCTGGGAAGATACTCTTCCCAAATGCAGGAAACAGAGGGTTCGTCCTGCCTTTTCTTTCCATTCTCAGTGAGGTAAGGTCTTATACCAGGGTGCTGGCTCCAGACCTGTGGGAAACCTCTGTTCCACATAGAAAAATTAGGGGTAAGGGTAAATAATACTTCTGAGGCAAAGCCACCAAGAAGCTGAAGCTAGTAGTTCCACTCTCTTGCAAACTTCAGCTCTTTACCCTTTTGACTCTCTGCTTCCAACAGCCTGTCCTGGATGTCCTCTCAAGAGAGGCACTCTCGAGTGTCATGGAGACCCTCTTCCATTTTCTCCTTCTCCTCACCCAAGGTGGTAAGGATACACAGCTATCAAGAAGACCCTGCTCTCCTGGATTATCATATCCCACTGCCTTTGCCCACCCCACTCCACTTCCCTGGCCCCAGAAACCTGGGGTCTTCCTGCCTGGCTCCCAACAGATACACACACACACACACTACCATTTTCAGTATCTCATCAGGGCCAGACTGTCTGTGCCTCAAAATTACTTCCTGAGAAACTAATTCATACTTCTGGAGAAAGCAGAGTAATAATGGTTAAGATCAGGGCCTTTGAATCCAGGAAGACTTGAGTTAGAATTTTGGTTTGGACACAAATTGTGCAACTGGGCAACTTGCTTAACATTTTTTAAAATTTTTTTTTTTACTATTTTTTTTTATTGAGTTATTGATAGGTTACAATCTTGTGAAATTTCAATTGTACATTAATGTTTGTCAGTCATGTTGTAGGTGCACCACTTCACCCTTTGTGCCCACCCCCCACCCCACCCTTCCCCTGGTATCCACTAAACTGTTCTTGGTCCATAGTTTTAAATTCCTCATATGAGTGGAGTCATACACAGATTATTTTTCTCTCGCTGGCTTATTTCACTTAATGTAATTCTCTCAAGGTCCATCCATGTTATTGCAAATGGAATGATTTTGTTCTGTTTTGCAGCTAAGTAGTATTCCATTGTATATATGTACCACATCTTCTTTATTCATTCATCTGTTGATGGGCACTTAGGTTGCTTCCACGTCTTGGCTATTGTAAACAGTGCTGCAATAAACATTGGGGTGCACAGGACTTTTGAGATTGCTGACTTCAGGCTCTTTGGATAAATACCCAGTAGTGGAACGGCTGGATCGTATGGTAGTTCTATTTTTAGTTTTTGAGGAATCTCCATACTGTTTTCCATAGTGGCTGCACCAGTTTGCATTCCCACCAGCAGTGTATGAGGGTTTCTTTTTCTCCGCAACCTCTCCAACATTTGTTGCTATTAGTTTTAGATATTTTTGTCATTCTAACGGGTGTAAGGTGATATCTTAGTGTAGTTTTGATTTGCATTTCCCTGATGATCAGCGATGATGAGCATCTTTTCATGTGCCTATTGGCCATCAGTATATCTTCTTTGGAGAAATGTCTGTTCATGTCTCCAGCCCATTTTTTGATTGGGTTGTTTGATGTTTTGTGGTTGAGTTGCGAGAGTTCTTTATATATTAAGGATATTAAGCCTTTGTCAGATATATGACTTGCAAATATTTTTTCCCAGTTAGTGGGTTGCTTTTTTGTTTCAATCCTGTTTTCATTTGCCTTGAAGAAGCTCTTTAATCTGATGAAGTCCCATTTGTTTATTCTTTCTATTGTTTCCCTTCTCTGAGAAGGCATGGTGTCCGAAAAGATCCTTTTAATACTGATGTCAAAGAGTGTACTGCCTACGTTTTCTTCCAGAAGCCTTATGGTTTCAGGTCTCACCTTTAGGTCTTTAATCCATTTTGAGTTTATTTTGGTGAATGGTGAAAAAGAATGGTCAATTTTCATTCTTTTACATGTGGCTTTCCAGTTTTCCCAGCACCATTTGTTGAAAACACTTTCTTTTCTCCATTGTATGCCCTCAGCTCCTTTGTCAAAGATAAGCTGTCCATAGATGTATGGTTTTATTTCTGGGCTTTCAATTCTGTTCCATTGATCTGTGCACCTGTTTTTGTATCAGTACCATGCTGTTTTGATTACTGTAGCTTTGTAGTATGTTTTGAAGTCAGGGATTGTGATGCCTCCCGTTTTGTTCTTTTTTCTCAGGATTAACTTGCTTAACATTTTTGAGCATCATTCTTCTCCGTTGTAGAATGGGGATATCAATTCCTATTTCAGAGAGCAGTTGGAATAATTAACTGAGATGTGTATACTTAGCACCCTTAGCACAGGTCTGGTTTACAGTACGCATGAATAAAATGGAAGCGATTATTGATGTTTTATGCTAATAAGAAGAGTTTAGACAAAATATCCCCTCCCCTCCCCTCCTCTCCGTCTACCTAATTCTGTTGTCTCTACCTGGTAAAATAGCTTTTATAGAGACAATGCCTTCTATTTTGATGCCCCGAATCCCAAAGTAGGGCCTCTGGTCATACAATTCAAGCCTAGAGAGCATTTTGGTGAACTAGCAAGAACAAAGGTTGAGCAACAAGAGGTCTAGACTCTAGTTTCTGCTTGCCTGCTAACAAGTCAGGTGATTTGGGGCCAGTCATTGTCCCTGGAAGGCCATCGATTTCTTCTTCTGTAAAAGGAAAAGTTGGGATAAGATGCCCTTTTAAGCTCTTTCTACTTCTGACATGCTATGACTCTATATGAAAGGGTCATGGCATAAAATGACCTTTTACTTATACTTTTACCTATACTTAAGAACTTTAACTGATACATGTTTTTTTCTTCTGAGACCTTGAATAGCTTTAACTCGCCTCACATTTTCTGCCTGCAAAAGTGGTAGGTTAAGGTAGACTGTGGAGTGGGTCATCCTGGGTTTGGGTTTCAGCACCACCATTTGACTTTGGGCAAGTTATTTAACTTCTCTGGACTTCGGTTACCTCGTCTGTCAAAAGGGGAAAGACAGAGGGTAGATGTGAAGATGCAAAGAGACAAAACACTCGGAAATATATAATCCCAAATGCTCTAGTTTAATGTCCTGTAAGGCATTAGCTGGTTTTAACCTAGTGAACTTATTTCAGAATGTCTTTCTTCATGGACTATGAACACCCTGTTATCATCTTACTGGTTCCCTCATTAATTAATGAGTTGAATAAAATCTTTCACATGTGTTTCATTCTATTTTTGTATGAGAATCATGTGTTTAACCTTTTGAAGATTATTCTTCAACAGGTCCTAACTCTGCCTGAAGATACTTTCCTCGATAGTTTGACATTGGCAGAGTCTGCTTTGGTAGAAATGCTGATTAAGTTATTGAAAAAACAAAAACACACTGGGTTTCCATGTTTGTGTTTTCTGCCCTCTTCTTCCCTATGTCAGTTAGCTAGAGCCAGGTTCTACGGGGAGCGAGGGTGAGGAAAAATCCCTTGCAGGAGTCTCTACCCACTGGAAAAAAGAAATAAGCAAGCAGCAAGATGAGTCTAGAAAAAGAGAGACTTTCCCTGTGGCCTTTACATTTATGACTAGGAAGATAATGAAGAGAGGTAATTCTGAAAGCTTTATGTCAGTTTTACCGGTCCCTCAAGCACTGAGAAAGATAATAGTCAATGGATGGTGTCCGTAAGGATTTTTTCTCCTCCCCTGACAGCCATTGACAGGATCATTTTGTATTTGCAACTGCTATCACTGAAGCATGGACAAAAGGCCCTGTAAGGCCAGGAGGACGAGGGCAAGTTCCCTGCAAGGATCTCTATTGTCATCACTATGGCAATAATAGTTACTATAATTTTCATTCTGCTTTTCTAGAGACTGTCTACTTTGTGGAGCTCAAGGCTATGGGATTTGGGTCACATAAAATCACACTGGCATAAAATCATGCTTTGTAATCTTGCAAGAGTATTTTGTAAAACTGCAAAGAGAACCTATGTAACGAGATAAAAATAATTACCAATGCAGGTCATTTGACTAATACAGTTATTTATGGGATGCTAACAGCTTTTCAGAGGCTTTCAGATACAGTGTCAATTTGACAGTCGTTTTTTTCTCTCCCTGTTTGGACTGTTAGACCACTGCCAGTTTTTCTCCCCAAGGACATGGCTTATCACGGCACGGGTGGTGCGTGGGTGTGGGAGGTTGGAGACTGTAAATTAATTACAAATCAGCTCTCAGTCATCCTCTGGTAGTTTTACTTTATTATTCGCAATTAAATCATACGTACAGGAGCCATGCCTTCTGTTTCATTTCTGCACCCCCTCATCTCCTAACACTGCGCTCTGCGTGGAGTAATGTTTCAGTGTTACTAGTTTTCGGAGAGATAGCATTAGAGACCTCTAACACTTCCAAAGTGCCACTTTGTGGAAAGAGCCTCTGTGAATGAAGCAGGATGGGAGGCTCAGAGGCGATCTTAGGGTAGTATGAAAAATCTATGACGGTCTTTGAAGTCGGGAGAAAACAGTTGAAGACAAAGAAAAGGCGTGCGGAGAAAAGAGGTGAAAACGAGAAAGACAAGCAAAAAGAAACAAAGCCAGTGACTGACTGGACTAAAAAGAGAAAAATAATAGAACAGGTACACAAAAGGAAAGAGAAAGGCGCACGCCAGCAGCACACAGACAGCGGGGACGCGCGGAGGGGCGGAGACTACAGCTCCCAGAATCCCTGGCGGCGCCTCCTCCCCGGGTGTCTCCTAGGCAACCCGGGTAAACAAGATGGCGACCTCCGGGAGAGATCCCCAGCGGCCGATGCCTTCCTCTCTCCAGGGAGGCTTAGGCAGTTCACGAGCTGGAGCCCAGTCGGTACTGTTGCGTTCAGAGAGAGATCGTCAGTCTGGCCCGTCTTTTTTTCCCATGGGGCAGAGACCAAAAGATAATTTGCTCAGAGCCTCCTCCTACCTGCTCCAGCATTTCGGTCGCCGCTATCAGGAGTGGGACGCAGACGGAGACTACGAGATCGAGGGCGAGGGAGAGACCGAAGCGGAATCCGAGGAGTCCTCAGAATCCGAAATGCCGAATTTGGAGGTGTGCCTGCCCCCGCATCGCCTATCCCCTCCCTCCCTTCTCCGGCCGTCGGGCCTTGCTCCTTCAGCCGCGGCCCCCAGGCGCCCCCCGCACCAGGCCGAGGCTGAGCCCATTTCTTGGCCTCTCGCCTCCAGGAGCGCCTTTTCCTGACCTTTCCGAGGCTCCCCGTCTCTTCTTCCCATTTCTGTTACCCCGTTTCCTCAACCCTTGCCTGAAATACCTCCAAGTATCTCCATTATTTTTCAGGAGCACATTTGGTTTCTTAAGCGTCAGCTTACACAGTGCCGTTATGAAAAAGTATCTATTTGTGTGGAAGTTACTTACGGCTTTAACTTTTTCAAAATGATTCCTTCACAGTAGTGCATATGTTGTGACTAGGCAGAGTTCGTCTTTGGCATCCTCTCCACCTTTCCTGTGGACTGTGAAGTACTCCAACGCTCTCCCCCACTTCTGGTCCCTTCATCCTTCTTCCCCAGGAAAAAAAAAATTACTCACTTGAAATAATGTAAGTTCTTCCCCAAAGACTAAATGACTTAAAAGTTTAATATATTACTTCTGCCAGGGGCATATGACGCATTATACAAGCAACACACACACCCCAGAAAGGAGCCATAGAATGTTCAAACAGCCAGTTCACTGTGGGAGTATTTTAGGATGTGGGAAATGTTCTCAGCGTTTCCATGTGTATTGCCTAGAGTGGCGGCTTTGCCTTTCACATTAATACAAATTCTGTCTTTTCTACAATACATGTTCTAACCACCACCCAATCCCACTTCTTTTTTACACTTATCGTCATCCTGTTCCTTCCTTACCCTGTTGCCTGTGGTCTTGTCCCTTTCCACTTCTCATCACATCACTTCCTTCTCTTGGCTTCTGATATATTATTTACTTTCTTTCAAAAACATAAACTGATTTGCTGCCTTTCAATAAACTATTAGGTTTTCCCTTTGTCTTGGCTGCCAGGAAACGCAGAATCAATATTTTTCTTAGATTAGGTTTTTCTCTCCCCTTTCCTTTTCCTTCATAGTATAAATTGCTTCAAATTCTTTTCAGAAGTATATATAACACAGAGAAATCGAATGTTTCCAATATCTCTACTCTGTGATGTTCTTCTGATTTCCCCTCTTTGCATCTTTGCACCTTTTCTAGCCGCCTCTCCTCCTCGAGGTAAAACATGTTTCTCTTTGTGATGCCTGCTCTCTTTCACAAAGTACTTTCCTCATTTGTCCTATTTCTTCTTGTTCTCCCCTCTGTGACTTGCAATGTTCTCTGTTACTCTGATTCAGCCATGAAACATGTACACTCTTCCCCCACTTGGGTTCCCGTCTTTCATAATGTTCTTTTGCTCACTTTCAACATTTGGCCCATTTTTTCCACCCTTGTTCCCTGTTTTGTCTTTCCTCTTCTTCTATCTCTTTCCACATGTGCTGATTACATTCATTTTGCTTAAAGTGGACCAGAGAAAAATATTATTTCTGTTGTTCGTCTTCTGTTATTTACTTCGCTATTCTTAATAGTGACTATTGCAAAATTAGCAGTGTTTTTAGAACTTTGAGATGTTTGTGTGGTTTCCACCAGCTTCCACCCCAGAGGAATTCACAAATGAATCACCGTTTACTTTATTATTCTAATTAACGCGTGCTCTTCGGCTGGGGATTCATTAGTACCGTTGTTAATCTGTCTTCAGTATGCCATCAACAAACCATTGAGGGGGTTGACTTGAACTAGTTATTCTTTTTGGCTCGTAGGCTGTGTGTGGAAAAAGTTTATTATTTCTTCCATTTACATTCTAAATATTAATATTTATTTTGCGTTGTCACATTCTATTTTAGCTTTTTATAATGTCTCAATTAGTTTTAATAGGCTGAATAGACTGAAAAGTTTTAAAAGGAAACATTTGGACTTTGATGTTCAGTAATTTATTTTCCATATCCTCGCCCGGTTAAGATTTACAAGGCTGTGATGGTCCCAATGAGTACTGAGGGCCTATCACGCAATTAGCCTCAGACTTCAAAAGCCCTTGTGAGCTTCAGGGAGGTAGTGCAGACCAGTTGTTTAGAATACTGCCTTTGGAATGAAAGATGTGTGTAAAGTCTTTTGTTAGTTATGAGGTTTTGAGCAAGTTACTTCGCCTCTCTCTGTTTCATCTGTAATATGGGAATTATAATGATACCTGTCTCATAGGAGAGTTGTAAGAATTAAATGAGATCCTATATGTAAAATACTTAGCATCATATATTATTTACACTGTTACAATACAAATAATTGGCCTATTTTTATCTGCTAACTACAGTTCATTAAATGATTTAATCAATTTAGCCTTCATTGAACAAACATTCATTGAATGATTGCTATGTGGGAAGCACTCTGACTAAATAGGGCAGAAGAAGTGTCTGGGCCCATGATATGTGTCTGATCCATGAAAACCACTTTTTGCCAGTAACTTACTGTGGGTAATAATGCCTACTCATTGGATAGTTATGAAGATTAAACTTACTGAGAAACTCTATGTTAAAGTTCCTAATATAGTGTCTGGTACAGAGTAGGCTCTCAAAATATTATAGAATTAATCCTTAGTAGTGACAGTCGTAATAGAAGAAGAAGAGAACATGATCATGGACATACGTGGCCTCTGCTCTCAAGGTGAGATAAGAATGTAAGTAAATCATAGCTGTTTAGCATGTGAAGTATTATATACAGAGATGTGTACAGTTGACAGCCAGATTGCAGGGATCATGGAAGATTTCAAGAGAAGTAGACCCTGTCTGAGTGGACAGGTGGTGTGTGGGCAGGCAGATGGCAGCCTTTCCTCCTGATGAGTTAGAGGGGAGAACAGAAAAGGCAGCTGTGGGGACCAGATTGTGAAGGGCTTTGTGCTGTTATATGGTCTGTGGACTTGAGTCTCTAAGCAGTGGGGAACTGCTCTGCTGGCCGAGTGGGATTAGATTAGAGGATAGTAAGTCTGGAGGCAAGGAGATGAGTGACAAGGCTCTAGCAATATATATGGGGGAGAGACAAGAGTCTGGATTAAGGCAATGGAAGTGGGAGTGGGGAAGCTAAAGATGAAGACATATTTCAAATATCTAAGAAGAGATGGTTACTAACTGACTATTAGAAGTCTAGGATGACTGCCAGGTCTATGCCATGGTCTGCGAGGATGTTAAGGCCATTAATTTCAATAGGAAACAGGATATATGAATCAGAGGACTCTGCAAATCAGGGTAGAAGGCCTGGGAATCATCAGCATTGGAGTCTGTGAGATCATCCAGGAAGAGAAGAGAGGAGAAGTGAAGAAGAGGGCCAAGGAAAGAAGTCTAGGGGTACAGGTGTTTAAGTGGCCAGCCAATGAAGAGAAATCAGGGAGGGGAAACTGGAAAGGACTGGTAAGAGAAAAAGAAGAAACAAGAGCTGTCTGATAGGGAAACCAAGGCAAGAAAGAGTCTCGAGAACATGGGAATGGGTTGTGCTGCCAGCACATTAAGTGGGAAGAAGCCTAAAAAGTGCTCCCTAGCTTTGCCTATTTGAGGTTCCTGGGAGACCTTGCCCATGTGGTTTTTGTGATGCAACAAAGGCAGAAGCCTAACTGAAGTGACTTGAAGAGTGAATAAAGGTGAAGAGGGGATCTAAAGGATGAAACAGTAACTCTGGAGGAGCTTGGTTTTTAAGGCAACTATAGCTACAGCTGCAGGAACATGCAGGACTGAGAGAGCCTTTTTAGGACAGCAGAGACTCACATACTTGTATAGTTGGAGAAGTGACAGGTTGGAGAAAGACAGTGAAGAATGACAGGTTGAAATCACAGGTGAAAGAGGGCAAAACTGATGGTCCCTGAGCAAGGTCCCTGAGGAAACAGAGGGAGTGGGGCCCTGAGTGTGAAGGAGAGGCTTCCTCTGAGACCTGAGAGAGAAGCATTAGGACAGGTGCAGAACATTGAGGGGTTAATGTCTGATTGTTTCTACTTTGCCTTGGAAGCAGAAGAGAAGGGCATCAGCTAAGAGTGAGGACCAAGGAGTGGAGGCACCATGCATCTTGAGTGATGAAGACTTGACTAGCCAAGGTGGGGAGTTGAAAGGCAGTTGACGAAGAATGGGAGACTGTCTAATAGCATCAAGGTCCAGCTAAAAGTTGCCTTTAGAATGGCACCAGCATGCATGGGTGTGGGGCCCTTCCCAGCCCACTCAGCAGCTCAGGGAGAGGAGTAGGTTTATTAGGTCATTTAACCCATATTTGAGTGCCCACCATGTACTAGGTGCTGTATTCCCCCTTCCCACTTTGTGCTCCAGCTATTTTGAACTCTTTGTTGTTTCCCCAATGGGCCACGCTTGTCTTGGCCTTTGGGATTCTGTACATGTTGCCCCTGTTGCTTGCAAGACCCTTCTTGGCTCTTTTTTCCTGCCCTTTCTTCCCCTTTGCCAGAATAACTCATAACTTTGGGTCTCAACTTAATCACTCTTTCCCCAGGAAGCCTTTGCTAACCTCCCACTAGAACTAACATAAAATGGGTGCACTGCTTCTAGACAAAGCACTCTGCTTACCTGTATTGTAATATTTATCAAACTCCTGAAATTGCTTATGTACTTATCTGTCTCCCAGATTGAACTGTAAATCCCTTAAGGATAGGCACCATATCTTATTCATAATTCTCTCCACGGAGTGGAGCATAGTGGCTGGCATGTGCTTGGCATGCTATACAGATTTTTATCCCGAATGAAAGATGAACATGACACAATCCCTGCCTTAGCGCAGCAGTTGATTGTGATCTTGATTCAGGTTTTGGTATGTATGCAGTAGTTGCAGTCAGAGGACAAGAAATCAGAGACTTGAGGGCAGAGAGATGCTGAAATTGTCCATGGGATATGCATTAGGGAAGGAAATATAGTTAGGAGGGGACAGATAGACTCTGAGAAAGAGAAGGATGAACAGACTGGAGATTTTGTTGTCATTAAAGAACAAGTTCAGTAGGTGTTGGAAAGGTTGAAGGATAGGCAGTTGTAGAATCAGAAAGTGGAATACTGGCTTCTGAGGTTTCTAGGGTGGAGCAGTTTGGCATGATGAGTAGGTCCAGGGCATCGCCATGGGAGTGAGTGGCTGAAGTTGGGTGGAGACCATTTTTAAGGTTTCTGGACTTGGGAAAGTAATGTGCGTATGTGCATGCGCTTGGAGTAGTAGGGGTGTTGAATGGCCATCCTTAGGGATTCTGAAGCCACCCAAGATAGGGATAGGGCTTGTAAAGGTCTGAAAATGACCAAAGACCAGAAGGGAAAGGCATGATACTGAGAAATGGCAGGAACCTCAAAGGAGGTGTGATAGGGTTGCCATGGGGGGTCTTGCCTTGGGGTTCTGGGAAAATGCTGACAATGTGGCCTGTCTCCATATCAATGGCTATGTTGAGAAACAGACATCCACCTACTATAAGTGAGGGATGCAATATCTTCTCATTTCCAGGAAATGGAGGGAGTGGGTCAGGTAAACTACAGAGGTTTAGGTGGAAAGTTTTGCAGGGAAGATAACACTCCCCCACTTCTTTTCTTTCCCAGACCTTATATAAGAAATTGGAACTTTATTTAGAAAAGTAGATATCTTTCCCTCACTTTGTGAACAAGTTGATTGGTATGGATGAATGAAACATTACGATATGGAATTTCCGACTTCGTCAATTGGTAGTGACAACTATCATTTATTGGCAACACTTGCTGTGTTCCAGGCACTGTGCTAAGAGCTTTACATACACTTTTTTATTCATTCTCCCCAAAACATTAAAGGAAAGTAATAACATTTCCTATTTATAGATGAGGAATATGAGGCTCAGAGAAAACTTTACGTCCTCAAAGTCATGCATCCAAAATGGCAGATCTGGAGTTCCACCCGAGCCTGCCCATGCCCAAAGCCTGGATGCTATCTCAATGTGGGCAATAATTTGCTTCCCTAGGGTAGTGGAAATCTGGGGGGAAAGAAACTCTTTACACTAGCACAAGCCTACATACTTATGTCATCAGTACCAGCAATCTGAGCAGCATTGTTGGTTCCTGAATTAATATAGATTACCTGGAAAAGGGTATTTTGCTATCATAGTCCAAATACTAGTCATGGTTAGTTATACTGGTGTGACTGGTGTGATTTCTGTATTTTGTGTCCTCCTTCTGATGTCATTGTTAATGTGTTGGTCATTATGGAGTTGAAGACACACAAACATTAGGACCGACTCACCTGTTGTCTCTTCTGTTTGTCAGTATTGGGGAGCATGTCAGATCATCACTGGTCCACAGATGTCTACAGACCAAGAGCCAACCTCCTTATGGAAATTGTCATTGCCCTTTTAATAAATCTTACAAATTGTATAAATCCAGCAAAATTAGCCAATAGGAAGTGAACTGGGGACCTGTTTTCTCCAGAATACCAAATTTAGAGAAGTAATTGCCTTAATTTGAGGTAATGATTGTTTGAGGTGTGGGCGAGCAGTTAAGTGTAGTGGTTAAAACTGCCCTGGCGTCAGACAGATTTGGGTTTGTATTCTGGCTCTGTCACATACTAATTATGTGGTTTCAGGCAAGTTAACATCTCAAAGCCTTAGTTTCCTCATTTGTAAAATGGAGCTAAGAGTACCTACCTCAGGGTTCTCAAGAGGAATAAATGAATTTATCCATTGAGAGCTCTTAGCACAGTGCCTGGAACAGAGAAGCACTCAGTCAATGTAGCTATAATTACTAATGCTGATGCTTCTACTGCTATTGTGTTCATTCCACTTGGAATACCTAATGTAAGTGACCACCTAAAAATTCAGTTGTAATAAAAACATTGATTTGATAGGTATTTATTTAATTATTCATAATATTTGTGTCCTTAACACAGAATTTTCTTTGGGGCTGGTAAATTTTGGAAGGCTCCGCTCCTGGATAGGTAGTATACTAAATAAGTGGTGGATACGATGAATTAGATAGTTTCTTTGCCAACGGAAGCCCTTTCTTTGTTCACCTAGCTCTCTGGTTTCTTTGCAGGAGGAAATTGATGGGGTCCTGAGAGAGGATGTCGTGGCTGGGGCACTTCACCAATTGGGGCGCTCAGGCTCTGGGACCGAGCAGGTCTACCTCAATCTAACTTTATCAGTGAGTATGACAACATTGCCATTGGCTGGCTACATCTTGACGCTGGTTGGACCATATCCATTTTCTCTAGTACTCATAGCTTTTGTGGTGGTCCCAAATTTCAGAGTCTTTCATTTGCTGGAGACTGGCAATAAGAGTTACTTATGTAAATGTCAGACATCAAAGAGCCTGGCCAATCCAGCAATCAGCCCTCCAAATTCCTCTGTTTCCATTCCCTTCACAGTCTATTTCTTTCATCTTAAGTAGTCTATATTATAGTAATCAGTGCCTCCTTTCCAGAAGGTTGAATTTGATTCTGTAAAACCAATCAAAAACTCTTTAAGAATTTTCTCTCTGATCAGTGCCAGGACGAAAAATTTATATCTGAATCCAAGGGAACAAAGTATTTTGGTATTGACTTTTCCCCTCTAAGCATGTCAAGAAATAAATAGCTTTGAGCTAGAGCTACCTTTCCAAAAGATACCTATTATTAACGAAGAAAAAAATTCTTATTCATCAATTTTCAAGATTTCGATACTAGCACAGAATCTTAGCTCCAGTTTTATCATAAGAGAAGCTATAAGAACAGAGTACTCAGAGTATTTTAGCTTCTTTCCTTCTTTTGTTTCTCCATAGTCCTAGGAAAAAATTAGTTTTATTTTTTATTTTATTTATATATTTAAATATATAATAAATATATTTAGTAATAAATATTTAATAAAATAGTAAAATAAAATACTAAAGAAATATAAATAAAAATATTTATTATTTTTGCTAGGAAGCAAATTCCTCTTGCTTCCTTATATTGTAAAGCATTAAGTATTCCTTGGAGAGCCACAGAGTAAATGCAGATACATAGGTGAAAAAAGTGTACTGAAATTTTGTCATAGCACCATAATTTAGCTAAAGTATAGATAATTCATAGCAAGGCTCTTCTGTCTTGGATTTGAACTAGTAAACTATCCAAGAAATGTTAAGCTCTTTTCACCCATGCTGGTTCCACGGTGTGTCCTTTGAGGACAGCATATTAAGGCTGTAATCTTTTACTGTTTTCACTTTATAACATTTTGTGGATGACTCATCCCGTCAGGCAGTAGCAGACAGGGAGCACCCTGTGTGCATTGGACTGTTAGGCATTGGAATGGTAGGTAATTCCAGCAGCCAACACATCCCACACAACTCCCTTTCAATCAATATTCTGCTTATGTATGTAGTGCTATGCCTTAAATTGATCTATAGAAAACAGCAATCCTTTAAATCTTATTTCAGCTAGATGGACTGAAGTTTAACTTACTTTGCCACTGACCTCCTTACATTTGAGATATTACATGTTGAATTACTTTGCCTTAATAACCTGTCTTACTGAATACACTTTCTCAGGGGTGCCTGGTTTAGTGATTTCTTTTCCCCTTATATCTTATTTATGTTATGTGTTATTTTTTACTTTCTCTTATTACTTATGTACCTAGCTTCTCTGCTTTCAAAGTTACGTGTCTTAAGGGCACAGTATGGCTCTCTTTCATCATTGTATTTCTCACCACGCTAAGCACAATGCCTTGTATACAGTAGGTTTTCAGTAAGTATTTATTTGTTACTGTTCTAGTGGCCATCATTAAACATTCTTATCATTATTGTATTTGAGAACTTGCTTTTTTAGTTTTTTTTTTGAGGAAGACTAGCCCTGAGCTAACATCCATGCCCATCTTCCTCTACTTTATGCGTGGGACGCCTACCACCGCATGGCTTGCCAAGTGGTGCCATGTCTGCACCTGAGATCCAAACTGCTGAACCCCGGGCTGCCAAAGTGGAACGTGCGCACTCAACTGCTGTGCCACCTGGCCAGTCCCTGAGAACTTGCTTATAATGACACTTCCTTGGTTGGCTTTTTCTGATTCTGACATCACAACATAAACCAGTGATGTGAATCTGTTCCAAGGGACCAAATTCCCCTCCAGCTCCTCTTGAAGTTCACTAGAAGCCAGTGCAGAGGAGGAAAAACTATCCTCTACCCTCTAGGTCCTTCTGGCTGATCTAAGAATTAAATTGACATGAGACAGAATAACAGGAGAAAATCCAACAAAGTTTAAGAATATGTACACATGGGAGAAACTCAGGAGAATGAATAACTTGCCAAAATGGCAGACGCCACCACCTTAAATACCATTTTCAGCTAAACACAAAGGAGGATATTGTGGGTAGTGGTTTGGGACTTCAAAGGGGAGGAAGGCAATTCACATGGAGATGGAAATGCAAGTGTCTGGCAAATAAATGTTTGCTGGGCCGTCTATAGACAGTGTGACCTGAGAGAGAATTTTGTTAAAAATGGGCTTAGCAAGTATCCTCCCAGTCTGCTGTACCCAGAGCTGTCTATGGTGATGGCCTGTCCTGGGGCAGGCCTTCTGTCTTAAATTCTTGTAGGCAGTTAGGGGAAAGATCAAAGTTTCTTTCAGCATCTTTTGTCCTTAAAATTAATCAAGCCAAAGAGACACATTTTGTGGTGGCAAATTCTGATCCCCACACAAGATTTCATGGAAAGAGTCTTGGACAAGGATTCAGGAGACTTGGACTCACTTCTCTATCCGTGACTTGCTAGGTGATTTTAGGCTATTTACGTACATTTTGTGCCTCATATTCTTCATCTCTAAATTGGAAATAATCTGCCCTACGGATCTCAGGTTTGTTTGATCTGATGAGATTATTGTAGGAGAGCTTTGAAATTCATTGAAAATGAACCCTGTGAAAGTGTAGGTGGTATCGTTATTAATGATCTCCCAATTAGGTGTGAGCTCTCTTTAACATTTCATTTAAATTCTAGGCATTTGCTTTTTCTTTTCTCCTGCTAGATAAAGGCTTTGGCTTTATCGCTATTATGTGTGGGGCTTTTTTAACATAGAACTCTGCTGTAAAGGTCTTCATGACACCACTTTAATTTGCCTTTTCAGGTTGTATTTTCTTCTTGCTAACAACACTAATTTTCTAAGGTATTATTTTCTTCAGAGGAATGCGTTTTTTGATGGTGTATGTAGTCTGTTTTGAGATCCTATTAGTAATAGGCTTCAGATTTTGCTCTCTCACTTCTACCTTACTTTTGAAAGAAATTCTGGATTCCTTTTTTTTTTGAGGAAGATTAGCCCTGAGCTAACATCTACCACTAATCCTCCTCTTTTTTTTTGCTGAGGAAGACTGGCCCTGAGCTAACATCTGTGCCCATCTTCCTCTACTTTATATGTGGGGCACCTGCCACAGCATGGCTTGCCAAACAGTGTGTAGATCTGCATCCAGGATCAGAACCGGTGAACCCCAGGCCACCAAAGCGGAATATGCGAACTTAACCACTATGCCACCAGGCCAGCCCCCTTGGATTTCTTTTGTCAACTATTATTTCTAGATGTCATGAGAAGGCTAGTACTAACCTGTTAAAACAACATTAAAGGCTTTTACCTTTCATTTTCTTAGGGATATGATTTAATTGACGTTAGCATTCTCTGTGGATATGTTCACCTACAGAAGTTGGATCTTTCAGTAAATAAAATTGAAGGTACGTAATTGTCATTCTAGTAAATTGATGGATCACTGAATTATTTCCAAATTTAAGCTTTGCAGTATGTAATATAGTTTAATGCTAAAAAACTTGATATAAGTACTATTGTGGATCAATTTATATATTGTGCCTCTGCTTTCCATGTAAAAAAGGCACCAATGACTAATGAGTAAAGAAAACAGCACAGGTCAGCAAACATGTGATCTTATCTTGTGGTTGAGAGGCACTCGGTGATACTGGAGAGTACCAGATGGAAGGTTTGCTTTGCTTTTTCCTTTTAAGAGATGAATTGTTCCTTCTTTAATACTTCCTGAATATTTGATGATTCCCTTTTCTTTCCGTCTATTAGTTTATTCAGTGTAGATGACTTGGTCTTTTTTCGTTTTTCCTTTAATGAATTCTTTTCTTTATTTTGCGTTTGCACCTGCATTTTAATCCTGGCTGGCTACTTCCGTTCTTGTGTGAGCACCAGGAATTCACAAGTTAATTTTCCCCGTCTTCTTACTGTCTCTGGATATTTAGCTGATCCTTTTAACTCTAACTCTGCCATTTTTAGTTCTATATAACATATATGTTGTGACACCTTGTTCACATTTAGTGACATTAGTCACATTTTCTTCAAAACTTAATCCTCGGTTCTAATTTTCTGAACTTATTTGAAGTTAAAGTGTACAATTTCTTTTCTTTAGACTTCTAGGGGAGGAAGCAAATCCTTATTTCTGATCTGCTTTCTTGACTGATAATCTTTCTACTCACTTCTTTAGCCTGTCTTTTTTATGACAATTAAATATTGCTGATATGGTCTTCTCTGGCTCATTTTTAATTTTTTCCACTCACATGACTGCAATAATTAAAATCCACTTTCATTTCAATGACTAAAAAATATTCTAGCATATTTTAATTCTTAAAATGCTACTGTTTTTGAAATTTTTTTTATTCCAGTTTTATAAAACTGCCTTATGGGAGATTACAAACATGTACACAAGTAGAGAGACGGTTGTAGTGAATACTCAGGTTCGATAATTATCCGCCCTTGGCCCATTCTCTTCATCTATACCTCCCTGCCGCCCTTCCCCAGAGTTATTTTAAAGCAAGCGCCACATATCATAGCATTGGAAAGACTTTTTTAGTGCTGCTGGTGGGACCTCTCCCTGCGCCCCACATCTCCTGGGTTGGTTTCATTTACTGGATAAGGAATTGCAGAGTGGCGGGAGTCTTCAACAACACTTAGTGCTAGCAAAGAGGAAAATGTGGCTTCATACCCTCGCCGCTTGAGCAAGGAGTCCACAGTTGCCAACGAGGCTTTCCTCTTCAGATCAGTCTTCTTTAATCTTTTGTGGCCCATTTGATTAACTCATCAAGTGCTTGAGAACTCACTGTGTTAAGTACAGTATATTTCTCTTTTTGTGAGGACAGCTTTATGGATGATTTGAGGTAGACCAAGTTTCAACCTGCATCAGAATCACCTGGGGCGGTGGGCTGTTGGAACATGGATGGCTGTGCTCCACTCTCACAGTTTCTGATTCAGTAGATCTGGGGTGGGACTTGAAATGTACATTTCTAATTAGTTGCTGGGTGAAGCGGATGCTGCTGGTCCAAGACCACACTTTGAGAACCACAGATGTAGACGTGAGGAGCTCCTGCCATCTGGTGGACACAGAGGTCACTACACTGATAGGGAATGAACGGGCCCACCGGAGTTAGACGGCCAGCAACCCAGACCGTGGATTTTTTTCTGTCAGTGATTTGGCCATTTACATTGAAAGCATTGGCCATCTACAAAGTATGAACTGTACTTGCCATCTGTTTATCTAAATGGTAGCTGCTCCTTTTGCTTCAAGACAGAACTCCATGGTACAGCACTTACCTGCCCAGAGAAAGATGGGAGTATGGCGGCCAGTGGAAATTAATGGTTGAGACCACTCCTGGCAGACACAGAGCTGAGCTCAGAATGGACAAATAGGCAAAACTTGCAAAGCAATGACAGTTTCTCCTTAGGGTTCCCCTCCCAGGCAGCCTCCCTGGGCTCACTCACTAATTCCCACCCAAGTGTTAATGTTTCAATGTATTGTCCCTCCTAGATTGATTTCATAAAAAAGACAGGCTAAAGAAGGGTGTGGTTTAGACCAGAGAAGTGAAGTAGAAATTGGTGGGGATCTTCTGGCCTCAAGGACCCTTGAGAGGGAAAGATGTTGCAGGAGGTGGGTGGGGAGGTGACCCTCACATTGCCTGTTCCACCCACTCCAGGGCACAACCCCAGCCGCTCCGCCTTGCTTCCTTCTCCTAGGCTGGATGTGTCTTTGCCACCTGGTGAAAGGTAGATGCACATTGCTTGGTGTGGAGGTTCCAGTCTCCCACCAGGGACATCCTTGGAGGAGGTGTAGTTGCTGGGTCTATGACCTAGAATGAGAAGACAAGGAGACATTATTATTACCATTGTCAGGTGGAGAAATAAGTCACTGGCGAAGACAGACAGTAAACCCGCATCCTGTGATTCTTCCTGAGGCTTCCCTGATGCCTCCTGCTGCTTCCAAGTGCATCTGCTGGAAAGTGGCAAAGAAAGGCAACACAATACTTCACCATGTTTATCCTTTACATGCAATTTCCTTAGGAGTGAATATTAGCACTATAGTCTTTTTCTTAGTATTCGAATTTCAGAATATTTGCTTGGGATAAAATGCAAAACTCAGATGTGTGTTTGAACCAATGCACAGTCGAAGTAAAATAATAGCAATCATTTAAATCACTTCAAATAATTAATGAGATTTAGGATTAAGTCCAACTAAAACAAAATTTAATTTATAACGAAGCAAGTTCTCTAATTGTGGCATTTTCCATCTTTCTGAAAAGACCTAATTTGGTTATTTAGGGACTAATTGTCAAGAGGATTGTCTAAGGCTTTAGTTCCTCATCCTTTCCTCCATGACTGGCAATCTTTGAAGCATTTGACTGATGGCAGCTTGTGGGAGAGTGAGCCGAGACACAGAGGCGGCCTCGGTCGTATTTTACCTGGCTGTCTTGGAGAGGGGGATGGAAGAGGTGGGGAGGCCCTGGGGAGGAAGGTTAAATTGTAGGCTCATGGAGAGTTTTCCACACTGTGTGTGTGCACAGTGTGTGTATATGTGCATTGCACACGCTCCTGTTTTTATTCATTTCACTCATCTGGAATGACTAAGATGTGCTTGCCTCTGACAATTTTAAAAATTTTCTGATATGGCGTATGCTATTTTTAATGACTTTGTATAACTTTTATTTTATTGACTTACCTTATTCTGTATTTATTTTTCCCCCAGATTTGTCTTGTGTGAGTTGTATGCCTTATCTTCTAGAACTTAATGCTTCTCAAAATAAACTGACTACATTCTTCAATTTCAAGCCACCCAAAAATCTCAAGGTAGACTTTATCAATATACCAACTACCTATCTTAACTAGTTTGCAAAGTATATTAATAAGCAAAACAGCACTAAAATAGAGAATTCAGAAAGAATAAGATGTAGGGGTAAATAATATTAGTATCTGAGATGAAATAAAAAAGGAGAAGGATTCGTGTATCATTTATTTTGGAAAATGGAGATGGTTTATCAACAGATAATCTTTTTAGGGATCTTTGAAAACCTAGAGTTCAAACTGAAGAACTAACTTCCTTCTGTTCGCTCTCCCTCGTCTAAATACTAGTTATTATTTGTATATGTTTATCATAGCAGAACAATTTTATACCTGAAAATGTGTAAAAATGTCCGGGGCGCTCAAATTTTGCCCTCCTTATTTATCCAGCCTTTAGTTTTTTTAGAAACCAGTGATTTCAGATCCTCATTCTTGCTTCTCTGAACTTGCTTTTGCATTTCAGAGGCAGAAATAAACGGTCTGTGAACAGAGGTTGATGGAGCAGCTTGCTATACTGTAGAGTGCCGTGTCTCACGCTTTCATGCGCACATGGATACACTGGGGTTCTCGTGAAAATGAGCTTCTTGACCCAGTAGGTCTGAAGTAGGGCCTGAGACTGTGATGTCTAACACCTTTCCAGGTGATGCCCCTACTGCTGGTCCATGGACCACACTTAAGCAGAGAGGTCATAGATTAGTGGTTCCCAAGCTTTTCTGCACATTGGAATTACCCAGGGAGTTTTAAAACCTCCTGATGCCTGGATCCCACTGCCAGAGATTCTGATTCAAGTGGTCCAAGGTAAGACCTGGGCATGGGAATTTTTAAAAGACCCCCAGGTGGCTCTAAAGTGCCAACAAAGTTGGGAATCATTGCCACAAGCTTAAGATGAATGTTCCTCTATTGGACTCAAATATTTCATCAAAAAGTTACTTTTAGGAATGGACATCAACCATTGCCCTTTATCATGCATTAGTTTTATGTTATTTACAAACCAAATTAACTTAGATCCAAAGTGTTCTGCTGGGGCTTGCACAAATATGCAAAATCTGTTTGAAATTAAGAATCTGATTACCCCAGACTGCCAGTGAGACCCCTTCTTAATTTTTTTTCTGTTCTTTCACGTCACTCCATCTTTATCAGTAGTGTGTTTTTTCACTATAAAATTATAGCTATTGCCAAGATGACATCTCTTTGTCCAAATAAGCCACATCAAGTGCCCATTTGTACTCAGTCTGGGGCCACATGGTCTCCAGGTTGGCAGGAATTGTATTTGCAGGGCTGTTTCAACTCTGCCTTCTTTGCTGTCCCATTTCGCCTTCTCCCCCACCCCAGGGAGTCAGTCATGACACCAGCGTGACCCTTGCCCTGGGAAAAACTTCCTTGGAGTTCTTCCATTCACACCCTACCTCACCCCACCCCCACAAGAAGATTCCACAAATGAACAAAAACAAATCGGACACCCCATCTAAGGTTCCGAGCTCCCAAAGAATTAAGAGTAAATGTATTGGTAACTTTTGAGAAGTGCTTAGAAAGTTCCAGACTGCCCCTGAGGAGGTGCTTCAGCTCTCTGTGAGCCCTCTGTGAACCTGAAAGGCAATGATGGAGGTGTTCCAGTGTTTTCAGTGCATTATTTTATTTAATCCTCCCAACAAAGCTCTGAGGCAGCTGGAACGGTCCCATTTCACAGATGAGAACACTGAAGTCTAGAAAGGTTAAGTAACTTACTTAATCTTTCCCAGGAGCCAGCAGGGCTGGGATTGAACCCGATGCCTGAGACCCAAAGCCACATCTTCCCAGTAAATCAGGCTCATGGACAGCGTCCCATCCTCTTGGAAAGCTCTGTTTCCTTTTCATTTATTATGTAAGGCCTCGTGCCAGCAACCAGAGAAAACATACATTTCCTAAAGAGCAGGGGCTTGTTCTTGCACTTTTTGTATTTCCTGGAATGCTTTTGTTCTCAGGAGGTATAGAAGGTTCATTTGATTGTTGGGTACTTCCTACAAGGCTTGGGTTCCAATGGAACTCCCAGTGGGAGTCAGAGCGATATTATAAGCCTTTTAAGGTCTCTCCACAGACCTAATATCATAGGTGTGAAGAGGGCACAATATTGGCATATGGCCCGACAGCGGTATAGCTGATAGATACGAGCAGACACAGTTATGGCACAAGAATGAACGGTGTTGATGAAAAAGTATCAGTTATAAGCAAGCCTGGAAAATTATGTTTATTTATAGTCCATCATTATTATAGAGAAAAAAAATGAATGTGAAACTTCATTACATCATGCCAAACTGACCTCTTATTTCAGTCATGGTATGCATTTTACATAGCTGCAGTTTGTACACGCGTAAAATTTTGTGTTCTGATTTCTTTTTGTTTTTTAAGATTTTATTTTTCCTTTTTCTCCCCAAAGCTCCCCCGGTACATAGTTGGATATTTTTAGTTGTGGGTCCTTCTGGTTGTGCCGTGTGGGACCCCCCCTCAGCATGGTTTGATGAGCGGTGCCATGTCCGTGCCCAGGATCTGAACCAGTGAAACCCTGGGCCTCTGAAGCAGAGCGCGCTAACTTAACCAGTCAGCCCCTGGGCCAGCCCCTCATTGTTTTTACAAACAATATTTTGTTTGCACATTTCTGCTTCTTCCATGGTCCTCAAGCTTGTCTTTTACTGACTAGTTCTGTTGCCACATTGTAATCATTTTAGCCAGTTGTCTGCTCTTGCCCTTGGCGTTGTTTTCAAAAAAATTTTTTTTTGATTCAGTATTTAAAGTTTTCAGTAAAGTATTTAATACGTTGATAAAGTAACCGTGGTACATATTTTGGGGTGGAATCACAGTTTTAAAGGGCACAAAAAGATAAGAATTGTGCTTATTGTATAGTTGCTTGCTGGTTTTCCAGAAAATGATTGCAGTGTCCCCAGCAAGTTATCAATGCAGGGCTTCAAAAAAGTTGGGTTTTCCTTTCCTTTTTAAAAAAGAAATCATTTTTGCTTATCTTTTGCCGGTAGGTGAATAATTAAACAAAGTTACTTAATGTTGCTTTTCTTTAGTCTCATATTTTTGAGTAGGAACAACTGATGTTGCTAAAATAGTCAGTTTTGAGAAAGAGTGTTAAGTGAAGAGGCATGGCCTGAGGGATGAATAAGAAAGATTTTTCTGGCATTTAGGGGGTAGCATGGGAGAATACATTGAGATAGAAATAGAAAAGGCAAAGAAAAGAGAAACAAGATATGCATATAAACTAAGTGAATAGAGTTTACAAGGCATTAGAGAAAATGAAAGAAATGGTGGTAACTAAGGGTGAAATTGAGGTAAATCCTGAAGGAAGATCAAGAAAAATTGAAGTAAATGCTGAAAACGGAGAAAATAGCTACAGGAATTGAAAGTGTTGAGGTTTCGAGGATGTCTGCATGGCCGCAAGGAAGGGGTCTCCTCCTCAGCATCCCTCAAGGGGACAGACAAGGATCCTACTTAGAAGATGATTCCATATGGGTAAATATGACAGCCTGAGTGTATTTTCAATAGTGAATTCTAACCCCACATCCAAAACTACATTCTTCTTGTGCAATTAATTATTATGTTTAAGATAAAAATGAAAAATGAAGTTTGATATATGTTCTCTTTTTCTCATCAGAAGGTGGATTTTTCCCGCAACCAAATATCTGAAATGTGTGATTTGTCGGCATACCAGGCTCTCACTAAACTAATTTTGGACAGTATCCTTTGAATGAGTAACGGGGAAAATTTGGTTAATAGGCCCATTAATAAATGTGTATCAGATGACATGGAATAGCACCAGATAAGCAATTTGCTAGCGATGTGTGGCTCATTGAAATGATTAAGAATTGATATTCACAAAATGAGGAAAGATTTTATTTGCCAAGGAGTGGGATTGCAAGTCAAAGCTTGCCAAGAGCATCTTATATCCGAAAAGCTAAGTAGGACAGTCGTTCTTCTGATTAACATAGGCTTATCTTTAAGTCTAGAACCAGATAAGAAGTTCTGTTTTAACTGGCTCCTTTTCAAATTTACTTAAACACGTGCCCTATTTTATATAAATTCAATATCTGAAAATCCAGATAAAGCCAAAAGGAAAATTAGTGATTAGTTATTTCACAAAAGAATTCGTACCAAGCTCCCTTTAAATAGCGAGCATCTCTAGTGTGTTTAAAATATGTATTGATTTAAAAAAAAAAGCAAAACCAACAACTTTTGGTTATCAGCCTACTTCAGGAACATATCTATTGCACGAGTCAGGCTCCCATGCAAACAGCACCTACTGTAAAGTAGGCGGCACCCTCCAGCTTCTGGAGCTTAGGGGGTTAATTGGGGATCTGTGAGTTTAATGAGCTCGAGTCTCTTCTTTACACCAGGGGCTGATGTTCTCTGGGTGATGAGGGAGCAGCACCTTCTCTTTCTCAGTAAGCATCTTTCTACCTCCCTGAGGATTTTTCAGGAGAGAGTGGAGAATGAAGTGATTGCCCTTGGGTGCCTCATTCCAGGGATGTGGCAGCAGCTGGTACACACTACACTCGTAATAGGGCTGAAATGTGGGGAGAAGGGAAGGTACATTTTCTTGAAGACATATTTTGTAGAAAAAAACCTTTATTCATAGATGGAAAGCTTATAACACCATACCACTCTCTTTAGAACTTGTGTGTGAAAATGAGCAATGAATAGACATTTAGATGGTGCTCTCGAAATGAGAAGTTCTCCTGAACGTAGCCTAATGAGAAAATGAAATCTTTTGATGACAAACTAAAAGTAGTATACATTAGCAGCACCTGTCCACAGAACCTCACTTTATGCTTCAGTGTCATCTAGATTGAATTTGCAAAGAGCTAGAGTCTGACAGCCCAGAAACTGTGTGGCTCAGAAATCCACTCATCTCAGGCCATCTAGAAGAATGCTGCTCAAGGAGGACCAGCAGCACCAGCATTGCCTGGAACTTCTTAGAAATGCAGACTCTTGGACTCTATCCCAGAACTATGAAATCAGAATCTGCATTTTTTTTTTTTAAACAAAGATTAGCCCTGAGCTAACATCCACTCCCAATCCTCTTCTTTTTTGCTGAGGAAGACTGGCCCTGAGCCAACATCTGTGCCCATCTTCCTCTACTTTATATGTGGGATGCCCTCCATAGCATGGTTTGATAAGCGGTGCGTGGGTCTGCACCCAGGATGCAAACTGGTGAACCCTGGGCTGCCCAAGCGGAGCTCATGAACTTAACTGCTGTACCACGGGGCTGGCCCTCAGAATCTGCGTTTTTAACAAGACCCCCAGGTGATGTGAGTGCACATTAAAGCTTGAGCAGCCCTGGTCTAGAAGTCAGCTGCCCCCCTAAACTCCTACCAGCCAGAAGAGACTGAGCTTCCAGAGCCCCTTCTAATCTTCAGGGCACCCTGAATGAGGATGGGGACGTGACAGTCTGGGGTTGGACCATCTGTGCTCTGTCTCTCAGAAAGTTATTCTCCTATATGCAGCATGGAATTGCCAGAGAAAACAACTCCACAGTATTTTGGCCTCCAAACAGAGAATGCAGTTTAAACCGTTTCTGTCATGAGAGTCTTGACTTCTATATAAATTTATCTTTCCATGTAAAAAACTAAAGTATTATGACTTTGTAAATGTCAAATATCATGAAGAAAGTAATTAGGGTTTTTTTTAACTTGACTTTAGATGTAGCAATTGAATCTTATCTCCAAAGTATAAAAAGCTATAATTATTACATCAGAACATGGACACTTAATTAGAATGTAATATGTAACATAGAATGTTCCTCACCTGAGTATTTAAAACTGCAAAGACAAGTAGGCAAAACAAACTACCCTTCATAAACTATTAATGAAAGAAACTTCTTAGATAGCTTACAATTCTGAAAAGATAGTAAGCTAGTTTGTAAACAGTACTAAATATGCTTCTCTTTTGTTCATTCAAGCCTATTATATTGTGTATAATTACACAATTAGATTAGATTTTTGAAAAGACTAAAAACCTTTGAGATAAAAAAGAATTTTTAGACAACTTTTTTATGCCAGTACATTTGAAAACAGATGAAATGGACAAATTCCTAGAAAATATTATGCACCAAAAATGCTGATTTGGAAATAGAAACCCTGAGTAGTCCTTGACTATGAAAGGAGTTCACTAAAAATTAAAATAAATTAAATTAAAAATCTTCATGCAGAAAAGCTCCCCAGACACAAACTTTCAATCACAGATCTTCCAATAATCAACAGTTCTTTCAAAGATTAAAAATAGAAGACATATTCACAGTTCATTCTAATGAGGTTACTTTGATATCCAAATCAGACAAGGAAGCATAAGAGAAAGGAAAGTGACAGACTCATTTCACTCATGACTTAGGTGTAAAAATCCTAAACAAAATATTGGAAAACTGAATCTGACAGCATATGAAAAAGATAATATACCATTACTAAGTTAGGTTTATCTCGTGAATGTAAGGATGGTTTAACATTAGAAAATCAACAATGTCAATAAACTACATTAACAGATTGAGGGAAATAAACCATATGTCAATAGATGTAGAAACTCAACAGATTTAGAAAGTTTAATAAAATCTAGCACTCATTCACCATAAAAACTCTTAATAAACTTGTAGTAGGGAATTTCCTCAACTTGATAAAGAATGTCTATAAAAACATTTGAAACAAACCTTTTCTTAATTGGGGGCAAGTTCTAAGCATTCTTTAAAATCAGGAACCAGACAAGGATGCCCACCATTGCTACCTGTATCCATCGTTGTTTTGAAGTCTTAGCCGGCACCATAAAACAGGAGAAAGAAATTAAAGGTATAAAGATTGATAAGGAGAAAATATAAGTAATTCTTTGCAAATGGTATGATTGTCTACAATGAATATAAAGAAAAACTTGCAAAAAACCCACTAGAAATAGTAGAGTTTTGGGAGTTCAACAAGATAATTAGATATGACATTGATAAACAAATCAATTACATTTCTCTATACCATATACAAGCAATTCTGAAACACAACTTTAAAGAGACACCATTTACAAGAACAATAAAAATGAATCTTATTAAAGGTGAATAAGACCTGTGGAGGGAACATAATAAAACTTTATTGATGGGTATTAAAGACCTAACTAAAGAGAAATATATCCCATCTTCCTGGATCAGAAGATGGGAGAAGACACGTAAAAAGAATTTTGTAGAAAATGAATCAGATAAGCTAATAAACACATGAAGAGATGTCCTTCTCATTTATTTTCAGAGAAATATAACTCAAGACCACATGAGATAGTATATCTATTCAATTGACAAAATTTAAGAAATCTAAAAATACCAAGTGTTGGAGAACGTGTAGATCAAGAGAATCTCTTTTTTTCGTCCTTATTTTTATGAAATTAATTCAAACGCTTTGGAAAACTATTTTATACTGTCTTGTAAAGTTGGACATCCAAATTTCCTATGCCTTAGCACTTTCATTCCTACATTTGGGAAGTTTAGCATACATGTATCTGGAGATTTGTATGAGAATGCTCACAGCAACATTGCTTGTAAAAGCAAAAGTTGAAATAGCCCAAATTCTCATTGATAAGAGAAAGCATAAATTATGGTGTACTCACACAAGAGCATAACATACAGTAGTGAAAATGAGTGAAATGTATCTCCATGCAGCAATAAGGATGAATGTTAATAAAACAGATTTAAATTAGGTATAAAACCAAGGAAGATAGACAATTCAGCATAGTGGTTGTCTTTGAGAGCAAGACAGCAGGGTGTGAAGGAGAGGTGCACAGAGGTAGACGTAAGTTGCTGCTAATGTTCTGCTTCTTGGGCTAAGGGTGGTGGTCGGTTCAAGAGTGTTCATCATATTATTTAAAGTAAATAAAAGTGGGCCATGTATGGGCCAATGATATACCTGTGTCCATTAAAAATTTTTAAAATCTGAAAATTATAAGTTTTTTTGAAAACAATTATTTATCAAGCTTCAAACTTCAGTGGTATCAGAATCCCCTGGAGGGCTTGTTAAAACACCTATTGCTGGCCCCCATCCTCAGAGCTTCTGGTTGAGAAGGTCTGGCGTGGGACCCAAGAATTTGCATGTCTAACAACTTCCTAGATAGATGATGCTGATATTGCTGGTCTGAGGACCACACTTTGGGAACCATAGCTCTAAGCTCTTCAGTCCTCTCTATTATACCTTGCAAGGCATGCTTTCCTCATCTGATGCCATTCCATTTGTCCTTTTTTGAATGCGTTATCTTTTTTATGCTTTTTATGTTTGTTCAAGCTTTCCTTAGTGGGCATATATGTCTCTTTTACTTAAGGGGAAAAAAGTGCACTTCTGTTTAAAATAACGTTAAATTAAAATGTAATTATCAATATTAAAAAGCAGTTATTTAAGATAAAAACAGATCAGTTAAGCTAGTAATGCTGACAATGTGATTACAGTAGATTATGTTAATACCTCAGAATAAATTAACTATAAGATATCAACTTTTTAATTTATCTTATAATGCTGTTTTGTCCTTTTATATGTGGATAACTGAGGACTAATTGATAATCATCCTAAATCACAAGATGATAAACTTCGACAAGGATAAGAATATTTGTTTGTCTTTAGAAAGAGTATAGTTTATTCTTTACCTGTAAATATTGACTGACCATTGGAATTTATTTTATAATTATAGAATCATGGAATTTTTAAAAAGTGACATGGAATTTTTCAATCCAGACAGAACTTTAGTGATTGTCTAGTGCTAACTCTGATTTCACAGAAGAGGAGCCTGAAACCCAGGGAGGTTCAGTGACTTGTCCAAGATTATTTGGTAAATGGTTGAACTGAGGCTAGTCTTCTGAGTTACATTGTTTTTCCCGTGTTGCAATTCACTCGGTAATTACTACTTTTATCGTATAGCCATTTAAAGTGTGTGTGTTTCATTTCTTAGAGAGATTCCCTCTTACAGTGGAGAACATTTTTCACTGGTAAGGTGATATAGATCTTTCAGGATTGGTTTTGATTAAAGCCATCATTGTGGTTCTCTCCACTAAGAGAATTGTGATGGATTTCCTACTTATTTCTCAGTAACTGTTTTCTATACACCCAAACCATATTTTATGATTGTAGACAAATGAATAAGAGCGAATACTGAACTAGTGAATAATTCATGTCAAGCACTGTGAACTGCTGACAGCATCGCCAAAATGTGAAAATATATTGTTGGACTTTTCCCTAGCTGTAAACTTATGCTAATGTGCCACTGGGTTCCTTCATTCAGTTTCCACAAGGGTCTAAAATTCTACTGTAGAAGATTTATTCACAGAATCGTAAAACTTTAGAGCTGGAATGCAGTAAGATCATTTTGAGTTCTTTGAGTCTCTTTCTCCTGATAGTGGCCTTTTAAAATAAAAATGTACCTGAGAGGATTAACCCAGTAGCTAATTCATTGTAATAGTTTAGCAATTTATCAGACTATATTTCTTCTTATCAGAAAGTCTCAGGACTTACAAAAGAACATGAAAGAATAATGTAAGGAGGGAGGACAAGTAACATTTTGTGAAGGTTCTTAAAATAAGAAAATGTGAGATTGAGGAGATGAAGGTATTCCTGGAAGCTGGCTGCAGCTCAGAGCTCTGTACGGACCAGTCCTGCATGTTGACCATGACCATTGCTGGTAGCCACATATGATGTGACTGTGGGAGGTCTTAGGGGAAAAGCTCTTGTGCCACTGTAAGAGGTACTCTTTACTCAAGAACATGATTAATCTATAGCGCCTGAAATTCCTTGAAATTTAAGGGCGTGTGAAGAGTTGGGAAATAGGAGACAATTTTTCTGAAATGAACCTATTTCTCAACAGAGATGTTCAGTCAATTCCTCACCCTTTGCCCCAGTGCTGTGAGTGACAGCATGGTGGCTGCAGAGCCATGGCTATGATTGCAGTGAGGCAACTATATTCCCACTCCTTTTGGCTCATGCAACAGTAATTTTCTAAAACCTGTCTTGTCGTACTAGTCAAAGCTGGATGTACCAAGGGAACTGTGGTTGGCCTCTAACGTCTTGGAAAATTACTGTGTACACAATAAACAAGCTTTCCTTTTCAATTCCCGTTATCTCTTGATAGTTTCAGGATTCCTGTTTTCTAGTCTTCTGATTCTTGCCTGCTTCCCATGGGAATGCTTCCTGACTCAGCTACACACTAGCATTTGTTTTTTTCTTTGCCATAATTCAGAGTATCTTCATTTTGTTTGGAGCAGAGCTATCAGGACACGAGTGCTCCTGAAACAGGGCTTAAAGACTCTTGCCTCCTCGGCTAAATTGAGACAGATGGCCATTTGAAGAAGTTTTCCTTGGCTAATTTTTCTTCCCAAAGATTGCTACCACAAGGATATTTTATTTCATCCATAGCTGTATGAGAGTTTAATCTCCTATATCCTACATTTCACATCCTTTATTGTAATACGTATCTGCAAAAATCTGGTCTTTGTTCTAGTTCCAGAATGATTATTTAAATGGCCCAGAAAATGGAAGCAGAAAGGAGCATAGTGTTTGTGAGCATAAATGTCTATTTGTGGAACTATTCTGGCCAGAAGCTCTATGAAAGTAGATTTGAAAATGCATGTTGACAACAAGCAGAACTATGCTTCAGCCCAAGGATTGAATCTGAAACCAATGAAGAAAATCTAGGAATTTGTGGTTTATTGGGCAGTGTTGTATTGTCATTGCTTCTAGTTTCCTAATTTATCTCTTTCTCTGGCCGAGGTCTTTTCAGAGTCAATCCTGGCCTTGAATAGTCCATTTTGTGCTGTTGGCCAAGAGGTACAGGATGTGGTTCCTTGGCCTCATGTGCTTGTAATTCACTAATGATAATGATGGCTTGCAGTTAGGAGGTGCTTTACAATTTGTGCAACTCATTCACGCCCATTTTCTAATTTTTTCCCATGATCTAACCTTTGGCCTTCCTGGCAACCTGGTGTCATCCCCACTTTGCAAATGAACAGTAGGAGCAGGGAGAAGATAAGTCACCTAGCTGGAAAGTAATAGAGTTAGGATAACTAAAAGTAATTATGATGAAAACTATTTGTTTTTGTGATCCTTATGATCCCTTCTATCCTCTTTAAAAAATGTGTTGATTCTATGATTAATGGAAGGAGATAGGTGAGGGGTTAGAAGTTGACCAGAAAAGCCTTTGAGGAAGAAATGGTTTGTCTAGAGTGGATACCAAGAATTGGAATTGCTGCGACATGTTTACAGTTACGATAGACACTGCCAAATTGCCGCCAAAGTGGCTATATCATAATGAACCCTCTCACCCAGGAGTGTGAAAGTATCTGTTCTTCAAAACCTTTAAAGTGTTTGCTAAGCCACTGGGTAAAGGATGGCATTTGTCTTAATTTGCAGTCTTCCAACTGTGGATGAGGCAGAGTGTCTTTTCATAAATTTATTATGTTGGCCACTTGGATTTGCTCCTCTTGGAATTCCTTGGACATATTTTTTCCTCCATTTTCTGTTGGGTTGTTTTGCCTTTTTTTGCCTATTAATTTATTGTCGTTCTTTATGTATTCTAGATAATAATCCTTTATATATGTTATGTTTTTTATACATATGCATTACTATATATATTGTGAGTATGTTCTTCCAGTCCATCGTGCTTACTTATGTAACTACAAAAGTAATAGAAGTAAGAAAATAAGGTTATCTGTCAAAAAGAAATACTTAACATGTTGGTTTAATGTGAATGTTAAAAAAATGAAAAAGAAAAGAAAGTGGAATTTGAAATTAAGTCCTGAAGAGTGGGCAGGGTTTAGAAAGGAGGAGGAAAGTAGTATGAAAAAAAGGTACGCTGCCAAGTAAGAAAGTTGTTGGTACATTCCAGAACTATTGAGAAGATTGACCTGGCAGAATGGAGAATTCTCATTGGATTATAATGGGGAAAAATTAGATAAATAGGTTTTGCTTAAAGTGAAGGGCCTTAAATGCCAGAGTGAGGAACTTGGAATTCATCCTATGAGAATTTCTTAATTGAAGCGTGATATCCAATCAATATTTTGAAAAAATTAACCTGACTACAGTGGGCAAGGTGACTTGAGGGCAGGAAGAATTAGAAGTTAGAGGTCCCTGTTGGTGCTGAAGCTGACTTAAGTTGGCAGAGGAGTGAATGAAAAGGAAGGCTAAAGCGATGTTTTAAAGCCAAAAATGCCAGGTCTTGGTGATTGTAGGCTGTCCTGAAGATTATAAGTGGCTGAGAAAATGGTGATGTCTTAGTTACTTTGGAGGGAAAACTGAGCTTTGGTGGGGAAATGATATTGAATACTGGAAATTTGCCAAAGAGACTGAGAACAGAGATGGGTGAGTTTGCAGTTTTAGGTGACTACAAGGATAGAACACAGAAGAGAGGAAGTTAAAATTGTAGCAATGAGTAGAAATGTAATCAATGAATGAGAAAATGAATGCAGAGTTTAGGCCTCATTTATTTTAAAAGAAGAAGAGAACCCGATATAGATAGAAAGAAAAGGCTGTTCCTCTCTCTATCGGGGTATTGGTTTTTTTTTTTTACCACTCACTTGCTGCAGGTGACATCTCCAGGCTGCTACCTGGTTATGAGGATGAGAAAGCTGGGCACATGTTGTCTTTCCAGGGTGACCCTGTAGTCAGAAGCCATGCCTGTGGGAAAGCAGAGGAGTTTCTCATGGAGACCATTCAGGAACCAAGGAAAAACATACTGCCAATGAGGCAGCTTTGAACCACTCTGAAATGTCTTTCTTCGCTGATGAAATCAGCACATGTGAATGCAAATACAACTGAGCACACTCAAAAGCTAGGCCTTTTTAAAAAAAATTAATTTGAAGTGGTGCTAGTATTAATTTCTCTATGAAAAATGTATTTCAAGAATTAGTGTTCATTCTGTATACGGCATATAGCACTGCTTTGTTTATGCTGTTGTCTGATTTTTCTAATGATGATTTAACACTGACTCTTTTTTTCTTCAAAATGTTTCTAATAACATTTTCCTTAAACGTAGTCACGGTATATAGGCAATGAGATAGAAGAAATCAGTGGACTCGAGCTGTGCAACAATCTAACTCACCTTAGTTTGGCCCAAAACAAAATCACAACAATTACTGGCTTAGGCGTGTTACCAATCAAAATACTTTGTCTGGTGAGTCTGACAGAAATGTTATTCTTTATAGAAGTGCTAGTTAATGTTTTAGTAAGTATATGAATGATGATTAGGATTTTTCAAGTTTATAAAGAGCTAATTCCTTTGTGAAATGTTATTGTCTTCAGTTTTGTTTGCTTCTTTCCATATCTGGTGTGTGTGTTTGTGCGTGTGATATCAATATTTCATGGTAAAGTAAAATGGTTTTCTAATTTGGTACTCAAATTCAATTTTTAAAAAGATTGACTTTTTTACACTGAAAAAGAAAAGTGTACTTTTAACAACTATTAAAAATGAATTTTTTAATGTCCTATTGATGAAATAATATTTAAGGATAATATTTATTGCTGTTAACACTTCATTGCTCTCAAATGAACAATAAGATGTTCTCTGGGCGCTGAATTTTGGCAGTTCTTTTATATTAATATATGCTAGTCTCCCATTCTAGGAAAGCAGAATTAGTGCTGAGAATAAATGAACAATTCCAATCAGAAAGTTTAAATTTTTAAGATTTTTCCCATAGAGAGCACTCTTCTTAAGCTACATGACATGCTATGTGACTATGACTGAATGAAAGTACAGACAATTTATTAAAAAATCAACAGGATCATAATAGTTCCAAAGATATACACAGTATTTTTTAAATAACAGTATAGCTCACTAATTTGGGGGCTGATAATACAGTTTTTGGGTTATCCAGGATTCTTTCTTCTTCCTTTCTTCCTCTCTCCTACTTCTTACCCTTGGGTGGCTCTGCTGTTCTTTGTTATATCTCTATATCTGTCACAAAGTGGACAGGGAGGACTTTAAGCCATGAGGCTGGTAGCTTATTCATTTCTTATGTCAGTTATCCCACCGAAGAGTGTTGGACTGTTGTTTGAAATGACGTCTTGGGTTATCTGCAGATTTTTGACATGTACGATGTACTATTCCTGTCTTATTTAACCTCAGATACCTGAAGGCTGGCTGTGTGTTAATTTTTCTTTCCCCGAGCTTGGAGCTTGAATTGCTTTTCCATGACCCTTCGCTCCTACAGTGAGTTAGGTGAGGGTAAAGTCCTTCCCAGTAGTGAGGATGAGACTGAGGCGTGGAAAGGTTTAATAATTTCCCTAAGGTTTCATGGTTTCTGTTCACTTAGGCATGTTAGCAAAGCATAAACAAAATGAATTTGATAAGTTAGATTGTAAATTTTAAAATTATAAAAGAAAGTCACATTTTAAAATTATGCTGTCTTGAAGGATTATTGGCAGTATGGACTATTCAATCTGTAGCTCGTTAGAACTTTATCTTTTTCTTTACATATCTTTTTTTATTGGCATTCCCATTAACTTTAAGTGGAGCATGATATGTGGAAAGAGATATGGGGGTGTGCTTAAGGGAATGAGAATTGAACTCATTATTAAGAATAACAACACATACCACTTTTATCCTAAGAGTTTGTTTCAATAGCTAAATAAGTAATCCATGTTGACAGTTCCATTTCAAGTAGCTTTTAGAAAAAGCATAAAAGACATTTTTTCTACAAATGGATTACGTGGATTGTTCCCAGTCCCTGCCCCCATCACTCAAGATGAACTAGAAAATACAGACTATGCCATCATTCATTTTCCTTAAAATTTTTGAGAATAGCAAGGGTGTCTTTTCCAAATGTTAATAAAATATAGAAAATAAAATGCTACACATTTGTTTCAACAGTTTTTAATGCTTTTATTTTTTAATTCATGGAATCATAAAGCCAGTTGCTTTTTACTATTGACAATAATTTATTTGACAATTTAGAGACCAAAGAACAATTCACCATACAAAACCATTGTTAATTCACTACCATCAACTTTTATGATAAATGTAAGGGAAAAATGTGGTTTGCTTATGGGCTATTCTGTCAATCACCTTCCTTAGCAAGTAAGGGCATTGCATCCCAAACTTTAAAATTTGTTTTTTCTTAGTAAGAGGCACTTGTTTTTTCCCTCTCAAATTGGGGAGATTAAGACTATTTCTCATTTCATTTATTTAAGAAAATAGCTTCTCTCTAAAGGCCCCCTTTCCCCTGCTAATCATGATAAAACAAACAAGAACTGTTCATGCAGAAACTGGATGTCTACTTTGAGGAGTGATGTATCAATTTTTCAGCTTTGGATAAAGAGTTTGAATAGATGGCTTTCAACTCAGAATATTTCTCAGTTCTACTTTCTTTGATGACCATAGGCTATCTAATTAAACTTTTCTATGCCTCACTCTACTTTTATGCATCTACCACTTTGAAAGCCATCAGAGACGCTGTAAAGAATTATTACAATCTATCTTCCATATCCGCAGCACTTCAAAGTTCTTTGGGAAGAAGAATATTGTATATAAGTTTGATATGTGGGCATATTTTAGATAGGATGTTAAGGTCCTTTTTCAGTAAGTTACATTAATATGGATATTATGTTTAGAGTAGTTTTTTTCTTTTCCTCTTCTATCACTCTCTAGAAATTCTTTGAACTCTGAACAGTTGGAAGTTTGACTTAGGCAAAATGGGATTGTGAGTATTTTTTCCTTCTTATCATGGAATTTTTCAAACATATAAAAACATATTAAAAATATAGGGAATAATTTAATGAGCCCCCGTGCACCATCACCCAGCTTTATAGATTATCAACATTCTATTAATATATTTTAAAGAACCATAGAATTATACCAATGAATACAAATGTTACTCATTATTGAAATGAAATCTTATGAAAAATAGGATGAAAATGAGCTCTTGCTAATAAATGTACCAGGAAACATATACCAGGAAAAATACTGTAGATGGATAGGAATACTGTAATTTTTCAGTTTTTAAGTGCTTATTAAAAGTTTAAAAAATTGAAAGATGGGCATAATATGGCATTAATTGAAACATCAAAATTCTCTTTATTATGATTTTCAACTTGAACTAAAAGTTTAATTTACTGTGGTATATTCTTATACCTCAAGGCTAAGGAACCCAAGGAATTATGAGTATGTTGGAAAATGTACAAGAGAATGCAAATTATTGTTATCACTATAATCTATTGTTATGGGTACGTAGGGGTTGGGAAAGAGGACATTTGAGTCTTAAATTTTTCTTTGTTTTATGCTCATTGTCTGAAAGGATGCTTACGTGTGAATTATTGAAGAACGTAGACTGGTTATCTATTGTTGAACAGCGAGCCACCCAGGTATAGTGGCGTGGAGAAATTTTATTAGCTAACCGTTTTGTTAGCTAACAGTTCTGCAATGTGAGTTGAGTTCAGTTGGGTGGTTCCTCTGCTGGTTTTGCCTCATTCAGCTGGCAGATTTTCTGGGGGCTGGACTCAACTGGGATGCTGGAATGGCTGGGCTTTTCCTCTCTATCTAGACTTAGCACCCCTCTCCATGGGACCTCTCCTACTCTATGTGACCTCTCCACAAATTCTCTCTGATAGAGTAGCTACAGTTCTTACATGGAACCTCAGGGAATCTAAGACACATGAGGAGAAGCCGCCAGGCCTTCTTAATTCTTAGACTTGGAACTGGCACACTTCTGCCGTATTCTTTTGGTTAAGACAGGTCATAGGTCCACCTAGATTCAGGAGGAGGGAACTGCACAGGAGCATCAATAACTGGAGCATGTATCACACTACCACAGCCCTGGTAATGTGAAGTGATTATACTTAGAATGTTTTTGAAAATAAAGTGTTTGTGGGAGTTACAATATTCAAGTGATTTATTGTGATGGTAATGAAAGGATTGCATTAAATTTTTATTTCTAAAGATAAACATGGAGTTATGCCATCATTGGGCTTTAGGTCAGAATGTTAAAAGCTTATACTACCTAACTTTTGTCTATTCTGCTGACTTGAACATTCATCTTGCTTTAACTTTAGTGAAAATATTGTATTCTGAATCTTCCAGCTGAAAAACTGGAATTTCTTTCTGGGGTTTATGTATATGTGTTTAAGAAGGTGAGTGATGAAAATAAGAATGTGGGGAACAAGAATGGCTTACTGATTTTAAGAGATTTGGGCCAATTTCCAGAATGAAAGCTTGTCATTATGCTTTTTCCTCCTGGAGGCCTTTAAGACATTAAGGGTATGTTATCAATTTTAGAGCAATAACCAGATTAAGAAGATCACAGGATTGGAGGAACTGAAAGCCCTGCAGATCGTGGATCTGTCCTGCAATCAGATCAGTAGCCTCCAAGGCTTAGAGAATCATGACTTCTTGGAGGTGATCAACCTGGAGGATAATAAGGTGATGTCATAGTCTCTGTGTCTACACAAGAGGACATGTTAGAACCCATTATTAGTTTCTCAAGGGCTGTTGCATTAAACGCCAACTTAGAAATGTTATTCCAGAAAACCTCTGAGAGCAACAGTTGCAGAAGGACTATTTTGTTTTTGTTTTTGTTTTTTAACAAATACTTACAATTCTTAATTTTTGAAAATTTGATGATCCCTAATTACACTGTTTTAAAGGTTTAACTGCAACCAACTGCACATGACTTTGTGAAGTGGATGTGTTCCTGTGAAATTTTGTGTAGAAAAATGGCATTAGGAACGTCTGAAATGTCAGAGCAGGGAGAGTGGAGAGACAGGAATAGCGTCAGGCTGGTGTTGCGCATGCCTGTCCTTTAAAGGGAAGAGGAACAAGAATTCCTATATCCTATTGGTAACAATGGCGTATCTTCCCAATCTGTGTGAGTTGGGGATTGGATTTATTCACATTACCATATCTGGCTTAATGCACATTTTATTTCACAAATTATATAAATTGACTTGCAGTCTTTTTTTTTCTTTTAAAGATTTTATTTATTTATTTATTTTTAATTTTTAAATTTTTTTAACTTTTTAAAAATTTTTCCTTTTTCTCCTCAAAGCTCCCCAGTACATAGTTGTATATTCTGGTTGCAGGTCCTTCTAGTTGTGGCATGTGGGATGCCACCTCAGCATGGCTTGATGAATGGTGCTAGGCCCTTACCCAGGATCTGAACCGGCAAACCCTGGGCTGCTAAAGTGGAGTGCACGAACTTTACCACTCAGCCATGGGGCCAGCCCCAGGCTTTCACTCTTAATTACACTTTCTTTCTTTTCTTTTTCTTTCTTTCTTTTTTTTTTTTTTTGGTGAGGAAGATTGACCCTGAGCTAACATCTGTTGCCAATTTTCCTCTTTTTCCTTGAGGAAGATTATCCCTGAGCTAACATCTGTGCCAGTCTTCCTCTATTTTGTATATGGGATGCCGCCACAGCGTGGCTTGATGAACAATGTGTAGGTCCACACCTGGGATCCAAACCCACAAACCCCGGGCAGCCGAAGTGAAGCACACAAACAAAGCCACTATGCCACAGGGCCAGCCCCTACACTTTATTTCTAATGAAGCATTTGTGCTTGTAATCATGGCGTGTCTGACTTCTTATGCAGTAAGGTCTACCCAGTGATTTCATTCTTACTGAATACCTTAATCATGTTTCTGAAAGATTTCATAAGGAAATTGAATTCGTATTTCTTCTTGAAAATGACAAGTTCTGGCTGACCCTGAAAGAGACCTTGGTCCCACCTGGGGTGAGACGCACTGTGGAGACATTTCTCTGTGCAGCTGTGACAGTGCTCATCAATTATGTCTGATGGCTCTTTCCCCCATGAACTGCTATCATCTGTTAGATTTCTAAAAATCAAGAAAAAGCAGTCATTAGGTCTGGCAACAGTGGATTTTTAATCACAGACAAGACTATTCTTCCTCATTTTCACTTGATTTGTAAATTCAATTGTTTTGTCAAACTTCTAAAGCTGATTCTAAGGGTTGACTTTTGTTCACTATGCCATGGGTTTTGTGAAGTTAGCACAATCTCTGTTTCATATGCGTTTAGTGTCTTTTTCATGAAATTGCCATTAAAATGCTGCTCAAATTATCGAGGGGGTGTTGGAAAGGTGGAATGTACTCAATAAATGCCAACTCAGTGCATCTCAGGATTCAGGAAAAGGAGTGATGGTAATAATAACAACAACAATTACAGTCGTAAAATAACCTAGAGCTATTCATTGAGTACTTATGCACAAGGCACTGTTCTAAGCACTTTACACGTATCGTCTCATTTAATCCTCAGTATAACCCTATTATTATCACTGGGCACAGAGAGGCTAAATAACTTGCCTAAAGTTATATATCCAGCAAATAGCAGAGCCAGGATTCACGTATAGAATGGTTTGCCTCCAGGGTCAATGTTCTTGACCCTGCAGGATAATACAGTCAATGAAATTCTAATGGCCCTCCCTTCAGAAAAGTGTACAGAGGGGGCCAGGCCCGTGGCCGAGTGGTTAAGTTCATGTGCTCTGCTCCAGCAGCCCAGGGTTTCACCGGTTTGGATCCTGGGTGCCGACCTAGTGCTGCTCATCAGGCAATTCTGAGGTGGCGTCCCACATAGCAGAACTAGAAGGACTTACAACTAGAATATACAACTATGTACTGGGCAGCTTTGGAGAGAAGAAGAAGAAGAAGAAAAAGATTGGCAATAGATGTTAGCTCAGGTGCCAATCTTAAAAAAGAAAAGACAAGAAAAGGGTACAGTGTAGTGCTCTAGAAGAGTGCTTTCTGATGGAAGGATAATGCGAGCCATAAATGTGAGCCACACGTGCAATTTTAAATTTTCTAGTAGCCTCAATAAAAAAGTAAAGAGAAACAGGTGAAATTAATTTTAACAATATTTTATTTAGCCCAATACATCCAAAATATTATCATTTTCAACATGTAATCTACATAAAAATTATTGATGAGATATTTTATATTCTAGTGCTTCGTACTAAGTTGGTGACATCTGGTGTATATTTTACATTACAGGACGTCTCAATTCATCCTAGCAATAGTACAAGTGTAAGTAGCCACATGGGGCTAATAACTACCATATTGGATAGCACTGGTCTAGAAAGGACCTCGCAAATAATATATTGTTCTCTTCCATTTCAAGAGACTTTTCAAATTACATTTGAAAAAGTTTAAGGAAAAAGGAGTATCATCAAGTGAAGAAAGGAGCCTATAATTTTTAAATGTTAAAGAGACCCCATTAAAAAAAAGTGACCACGTGTCCCAAAGGGGGGGATCCTTTGGCAACAATTGGGTCTGTAACAATAACATGATTCCCTGGCTCCCCACTGGGCAGGTTGGGGAGCAACCAACAGTACTTCCAAATATTCTTTGAGCCATCCAAAGATTTCCTCAGAGATTTCTCCCATGCTCTTGAGAGTACTATGTATCAGGGATGGAAAATTTATCGTTTGAAAGCAACATAGCATAGCTGTTGCTTCTCATATGATTAATTTGATGTTAGGAAGATTGTTTAGTGGCAGCGCTTCCATCAGTATTATTTACTTGGTTTTCACCATTGAAACATCGGCGTTCTTTCACGTGATCATTTGCACATCTCTTTTAAGTTCTTGCAAATGTTTACCATCAGCTAGTGATTTGGGGGCCTTTATCACTCTCCACTATGAAGTCCTTGTTAGATTTGATGTCATTTCTAACATCTAAAACTTATCCCCCAAATGTTCACTCTATTGTAACCTCAGTTCTTTCTTCCAGAAGCAAGATGTTGGTCTGGGAGTTACTTAGAGAATGCCATTTTACTTCTCTGAATCTTAGTGTCATTATTTCACAAATCAATATATCTGTCTGTCTGTCTGTCTATCTATCTATCTTAAGAAAAAGGCTTTATTGGCCCCTTTAGGTCTGGATGGTGAGGCTCGGAGAGCATAGCCTAGAAGGAAATGGCAAAAAAAGAGTCAACTAAACTGCTCTCCCTAGGAGGTCAAAGTTGACAGGCTTCTAGGGGCTGGGGCGTAGCCAACAAGCGCAGAGGAGGTTCAAAAAGAGGGACAGACAGGAATATGGGATCAACTGTGCCTGTCTGACATTCTTAGCAGACAGCTGAAGTTCCTTTAAGAATATAAGCTTTCTGGCAATATTTCACTTTAGGTCTTTTGGGGTGCTGTGTCCCTACACCTTGTGCAATGAGACACACAGCCTTGGGTCTTGGCATTTGAGGGGAGAAGATGTGAGGGTGAATGTGGGGAGGTCTGCAGGAGAGGGCGGGCACATAACAGGACAACCTGTATCTGTTGCTTGTTCCTAATTCCGCAGACATGGGAATTTAAAGCAATGCTGTTGCACACCTGCTGCCATCTGCACTTCCCCACCTCATCCTACCTTTGGAAGGACTGGGAGGGAAGCTGGACCCCTCTTGTTTGACTCTCAGAAGACCAGCCAATCCCAGCGGATATCTTAGTGATAATGTGATTGTATGTGGTCCGTGATCGTTTTATTCATGGTGCTTGCAACATTTCAAGGAGATCTTTCCAAGTCAGTCACCATAGATGTCACCATCTTCTAAAATGGTTGCATAGCGTTCCTATTATGAGACTGTAGTATGACTCATTTAATCTCATAATGATGGATTTTTTAGGAATTTAGATAATTTTAAACTTTTACTGAAAAACATTAGACTAAACGTTCTTGTTTCTAATTTTTGCCTGTCTGATGAGCCCTTCAGTATAAACCTCTTGAAATGGGATAGCTGATTCATAGCTTATGCGTATGTAACACATGAGATTGCATGTTAGAAAGAAAGTGCCAGTGTCCACTGTCATCAGCAATGTCTGCTAGTACAGGTGGCCGGGACTTGTTGGTGAGACATGTTGACTGCAGGAAAATGCCTCCTCCTAACATTCATGTCAGGTCCAAGCACAAGAACTCTATGCTAGAGGGAAATCAATCCACTGACTGAACAGTATGAACCAAGTTTATTTTTCCACCTTCCTGAATAATGCAACATGCAAAAATTGATCCTTTTATCTTGTAGATGATTCAAATGGCAGTCTAATGGACAGTCTGGTCATGTTATGGAGAAAGCTGTGTGTAGTAGCACAAAGTTGCTGTAACCAGATTAACGTGTGCAAGTTGTGTATTGTAACTCAGAATTTGCCTTTTATATCTTTGAAAATGGCATCCTTTGAACATGGCACGTGTGTTCTGCCCCTGATTTTGCTTTGGGAATAGTTTACATTTTAGCTATGTTTTGTGGTTGGATAACCAGGGAATTGTCAGTGACTCTGCTGTTGGAGTAATTTTGCAATGCATGCAGAGATGACTTGGGGAGACATACAAATGAAAAAATTATTATTAGTTTTCTGCATAAGTTCAATATCTACATTTGAAATAAAATTATAATTATGCTAATTACAGGGAATTTAAGTAAAACTCTTTGTCTTTAGTTTAGTGGAAAATTCAGACATGCTACAACCCAAGCTCCATCCTTGGGCAGATTAAGGAAGTACCAAGCAACCTTTTTTCCTTTACTTTTTAAAGTTGTGAAACATAACCTACCCAGAAAAAGAGTATAAAACATAAATGTACAGTTTAAGACAAAATTTTAAGGTGAATACCCATGTAACACCCACATCAAGAAATATGTCATGCAATTTTCCATTTATATCATTCCTTAAAATAATTTCTTATTGAAAAAATGGTAGAGCTACACATGTGCATGAAGTCAGCAGGCTTCCCCAGTCACAGATAGCCAGGTGAGCAGAAGCGGGGTGGGGAGGGAGCTGGGGGAACAGCAGGGCTGGGAAGGGTTCGGGGTGGGGAAGACCAGCTGGCCCTTGCATGCACATTTGGTATTATTTCTCTGATTCTATGTACTATTTTATTTCTGCCTTAAAATAAATATGGCTGAGATGAGGCACACCTCACTGTTCTCTGGTCAGGGAGGAAAAAAAGAAAATGTGGCTGTGTGTGTTCACATTTATTGAAGGGGCATGCAGTAATTCTCTTGTTCTGCATAGCTCTGTGGGATTCTCATTAAAAAGGTGAATATTCAACAGAGCAATTTTTAAAATAAGTTGAATTTAAAGGATCTCAAGTAGCTCCTCTTGTATTGTTTTCTATAATCTTTGTGCATTTAGTCCATTGAAGATGTTTTGTTTCTCTGATTAAACAGATTGCTGAGCTGGGTGAAATAGAATATATTGAAAATCTACCCCTCCTTCGAGTTCTCAGTCTTCTAGGGAATCCAATTCAGGTGAGAGATTATTTACATCGGCGGAGGGGGATGAGGACGATCTTGGAATTCTTGTTCTTCAAGAAATACTTTTGGTAAAGAGCATCAGGAACGTGAAGACAGTGTGTTTCTCTTTGTTCTCCTTCTCTCAGGAAACGGTTAGAAGGGTTAAGCAAAGTAGCGCCTCTGCACCGCTGTCAGTGCGAGTAAAGCCTGAGGCTGCCTACTGTGTGTGGTCGTCTGGGAGCAATGTCCTTTCCCATTAGAGAATGCGTGATGCCAGAGGTGTAGACAGAATGTGATTCCTGTTTTACAATAGGGGAAAGAAAGTCTAAGATTAGACTCCTAATATAATTTGTCTGGATATAGCTGTGAAATTTTGTATTGTTATAAAATGATTTTAGAAAAAAATAATGTATTTCTCACAAATTCTTCACCTTTGGGATTCAAAGATCCATGACCGTTTCTTAGGCCTCTCTCTTTCCTTTCATTGACAGGTCCTTTCTCCCTGGCCTCTATCTCTCCCTTTTTGCCCATTTGTCCTTCATTCTGCTTTTCTACATCTACCCTTCACTTACCTTTCCACAGACTCTTAGCTTTATATGCATCTCTGGGTGCCATTCTTTTTGTGTCTGTCTTGATGAACACGTCTGGACAGGCAGAAAACCAAAATCAAAAATGAAAAATAAGATTTAAAGATAAAAACAGTTCTTGGTATGGGAATAGTGGCAGGCAATTTAAAACCACCTCTGGGAAAGAAAGGAGCAGGGCTTGAACTGGCCATCAGCCCCCGTTTCAGATCTGTGAAGGGTGCTTGTGCATATGCATAAATACACGGCACAAACCCTTTCACGCATAACTCATTTATAGACACATTTACACACTGAAGTACAAAAGAGACACCTTTGTATATTCATTTCATGTGCATTCTCATCTCTAAAATCTATCATCCACCAATATCTTTCTCTTCAAAGAGATGTGGCTTCTTAATACAAAAAACTTTAATTATATTTCTAAAACTCAGGTAATCCTAACACAGCAGATGGTTGAGAGAAATAAGTAATTCATTCTATAAATGAATATTATTTTTTATTGTAAAACAAATTCATAATAAATGATACAAATTTATATAAAATAATACAAAGTAATAAATAAGTAGTGAAAAAGTAATAATAAATAATGTTTCGTTATTTGCAATAGTGAACTCTTTGGTTTGAATCACTGGCCGTGGCATTTTGGGTGAAATGCTTCACTTCTCCGAGGCTGAGTTGTTTTTCTCCCTAGAATTGAAGATGATCATACCTATCTTGCTTATCTCCCAGGGAGATTAAGCTCACACATTTGAAGAGCTTTGTAAGTTACCAGGCACAGTCTGCATTTGAGTTGTTAATATAAGGGGATTGGTAAGCGTGAAAAGGTAGAGACCTATGGGGGTGGTGTGTGAATGACAGGGGAAGTAGGGGAAAGGCCTCATGGAAGTAGAGGGCTGGTGCTTATTAATTGTGGAAAAGAAAGGCAACTGAATAGTCCTCTTGATATTTTAAATAGGAAAAATCTGAATATTGGTACTTCGTAATTTTTATGCTGCTACGATTAACAGAATTAGATCAGAAGAAGATTAAAGTGGAAGAAAAGGTATGTAATCACATCATTTTGTATGTTTAGGAGTTACCACGCTCGAGAGCTCATGCTGCCTGCTGCGGACTAATATAATCAATAAATGACACACATAACAATATGTAAATTAATTATTTATATAGGGAGTGTTTCCTTGTCCTGGGATCTGTCCGTTTGACCCTCTGCAAAGCTGAGCGTCAACATGAACGCAGTGAAAGCTCTGCTCTTGGTACAGTGAAGGGTGGCAGTGGGGGCAGAAGCAGTGCCGCATTTCTGTAGGCCGGCAGCATTGTGGCAGTCTGTTCACTTGGATAACCAGCATATCTGGAGGGCGTGTGATTCTTTCTGTGTTACTCTAAAAATTCATTTAGTACTGGAATGTACTATAATGCCATTCTACCACATAATGAAAAGGTACTCAAATAAATCACGACTCTGGTATTTTGAGTCCTTAATTCTGCTCTTTAAGATAATGATTCCTCCGGACATGGAGTTCCAGAGTCGCCAGATCTTGGATGCTGGACCTACCTCCCCCCATACCTGTGGTAGCTACTTTGTCATGCTTTAGTGACTGGCAACAGCTGAAATCTCCACTAACGAGGGATTTCTTTCACTGGATGCAAATTGGAAGTGGGAATGAAAACAGGTATAAATATGTTGAGAGGCAGCTATTCCATTTTGTAAATGCCTTTCTGAAATCTTGGTTAAAAACAGTTACACATGCTAGTGTGTTATTATTCTCACATTCAAAGGCACTTATTAGATTTCTCTTCCCCTTTAATGTTTTGTGAAGTGAATAAATTTAAAATCATGTACTAAGTAAAGGTGTGGTAGAAGAGGATAATGTATTTAGAGGGATGACAAAGACAAGAGGATAGAGAACTGTACGTTGTGAGGCAAAGGCCCATATCTTTGAACAGAGACAGTTGTGCTAAAAAAGGTGGAGGTTTTGGCAGAATTTGAGATAAGTGAATAGTTCTTGGTGAGATGGCATGAGAAAAGAATTCTGCAGTACCAACTACCTGGAATCTAGAACTGTGAACTTTATTCTTTCTTCTCATCCTAAAAGTTGGAATTTTGACTATATTAAAAGTAAACTTGGGCTTTAGAGGTTTTGTTTCTGCTTTTTCCCTCCCAAACCAGGGACTATAGAGACATAGGGGATCAAGAGGCTCCAGCTGAATATTTTAAAATAATTCTCATTATTTAGGTTTTAGGAAAGTTAGAGTAGACATAAGACTGAAGACAAAGATTCTTGAGCACGCATTAAAATATTTTCGATATCTGAATGCATGTCTAGAATATTTTATTGAAGAAAATCTAAGCCTCATCTTCTTTTTAGAAATGAAATTTGTTTTCCTTTTGCATTTCTCATTGGGAAAAGGTTTCAGCAGTGAATAAATATGACCCTCCCCCAGAAGTGGTGGCAGCCCAGGATCACCTGACCCATGTTGTCAACAGCGTGATGCAGCCACAGAGGATCTTTGACAGGTATTTGTTAGGGGTCTACGGGGTAGAGAGAACTCAGAGCGGTAAGCGCAGGACACCTCGTCATGTTCCCTGGCGCTCTATTTTGTGAGGCATTCCTTTCTTACCTGCTCTGAGGGAAGGGATCAGGTCTTTATTTAATAGGCTGTGTTGTCTCAGTTATAGTGTATTGTCATCACATGCTTGAATATAGCGCTCACTTGTTGGTGTTTTCCCAAGTGTGGCAATGAGTGGATTCATCTTCCCTCTTTCATCTGGCCCCTTGAATGGTGGCTAGCATGTGACATAGGACAGTGAAAAAGAAAAAAAAAGTCTGTTAGCTTTTCTGCTGTAGGATAGAACCACAGACCTTAGCCTCATTAACAGAGAAATGTGATAATTTGTATCGTAAATTTTTCCTTAGCTGTGAGATACTCCTGCCAAAGAGCATCCCATGAATGCAGATTATTAGAGAGTTTCCAGAAGGAAGCCCAGCCAGCCTAAGCGAAACCTGAAATAGCCTTTCTAGTGATTGCTCTGAGCTGCAGTCAACCCAGCAGGGAGGAGTCTCCCAGCATGGTTGAACACATGAATAGAGTCTCTCACCTCTAAGTTCGAAGACAGATTTACCATGGTTTCTCCATTTCTTTTTAAACAATCTGTTGGAGCAGATGGCCATTTATGCTATAAGTATAATGCAGAAATTCTATTGATACCCGAAGGCTTTTTAAAAATACTTGTAGAATCTTCTGGTTATAAATGGCTTCTCTTCTTCATGTGGTATTTGTGCTTGTACTTCATGTGCTTGGTTTCCCACAGAGAACAAAATGTTTTATTTTGCAGCCAGGACATGATTTTTCACATGTAATTTAATAATACAGACATTGACAGTTTTATGTATTTACGGTAACCATGTAGGTGAAATGATTTACCATTTATTTGCATACATCTGGAAAAGCACATTTGATTTAAAAGAAGGGCATTTATGTCCTCATTGTATTTCTTTTCTAGTTTCTGAGATTGCTAGTTGTTTCATGCTTTAGAGTGCATTTATATAGAAATATCTATCAAAAGAATTTACAGCAGTGTCTCATAAATACATATTTTTGATCATTTCTGGCTGTCGGACAGACAAGAGCAAATGGCCAGCAGCCCTGGCTGCTCCAGGATGGAGCAGTGTTCACTGTGAAAAACTCGTGGAGGCAGGAGCAGGTCTGCCATTGCTCTTCCCACTCTGAGCCGGGGCACAGCTCTCTGGCAGTCCCAGAAGTCAGGCTCCAGGAGAGGAACCCTGACTCCCGACCTTGGGACTTTTATGCTGCCTTATTAGGGAATCACTGGCCCCTCTTTTGGTGGATTGGGGTGAGGACACAATATTAAAATGACACAGCAGAACTTTGACTCATGACAAAGTTCTCCAGACTCATCTTGTATAAGTCCTGTCCAAAATCTGGAATCAGCTTTTTCTCTAAGAAGCCGTGATTTGTTTTAGTGAGAGCTGGTATTTCTCAATCACAGTCTGGGTGCTAGAGATAATCATTACTACTGTGTTGGTCATCATTTCTAGGCCTTTTAGTGGACAGAGCTAGGAATATATTTCCTTCCTTCCTTCTTTCCTCCCATCCATCCATCCTGTCTATTTGTACCTATCTATCTGCATCTATTTAATCTGTTTTGTATCTAATCTATATCTAGATAGATCTATAGATAGATGATAAAGTACCTTCTGAATTCATATTGGCACTTACAATTCAATTTCAAGAACAGTTGAGCTTTTCCTTAACATCTTCACTATTAAATCTGTATCTCCTTTGCTCCCACACCAAGAACACAGAGGAAGATGAAATTAAAATATTCCATAATTAGTCTTTTTTTAAAATCCCATATTATACATTATCTAATACTAATATTATCGCCAACATGATTACTGAAAACATTAAAAACACATTTTGCCTATGCTCTTCCCATTAACCCACCCCCTTTTTTTTTATTGTGGCAAAATATGTACAACATAAAATTAGCCATTTTAATGATTTTTAAAGTGTACAGTTCAGTGGCATTAACTATATTGACAATGTTGCACAGCCATCACCGCCATCCATTTCCAAAACTTTCTCATCACCCTGCACAGAAACTCTGCCACCGTTAAGCAGTAACTCCTCATTCCCTGCCGTTCCCAGTCCCTGGGAACTTCTCATCTACTTTCTGTCTGTATGAATTTGCCTATTGTATATATTTCATATAAGTGTCAATCACCCCATTTTAAAAATAGTGTACTATATTTATATTGTCAGAACATATATCCATCACATGCAACGCTTTCTCCTTTGCTGTCATTTAATCTGGATTCTGTGGATAACTGCATATTTATTGCTCGCAACCAGCCCTGATATTGATCTCTTGCGAGTCACTTTGGTTGTGAAGCCTGTTCTCTAGTAGATTCCTTAGGAAGGGCTATGGGATCAATATCCCTTGAACTCTTACAAGTTGATAATATTCTCTGCCCTTTATACTTGAAAGTCATTTCTGCTGTATATAAAGTCCATGGCTCACACTTTTTTCCTTGAATATAGTAAAGACGTCACTCCATTTTCTTTTGGTGTAAAACATTGCTTTCAAAAATCTGATGACAATTTAATTTTCTTTCTCTGATAAGTCATGTATTCTCTTTTTCTAACTCAGCATTTTTTTCCCTTTTTCTTTAAAGTCCAGTAATTTTACTAGACTATGTCTTCTTTTTTTTTTTTAAAGATTTTATTTTTTCTTTTTCTCTCCAAAGCCCCCCGGTACATAGTTGTGTAGTTTTAGTTGTGAGTCCTTCTAGTTGTGGCATGTGGGATGCCGCCCCAGCATGGCTTGATGAGGAGTGCCATGTCTGCACCCAGTATTCAAGTGGCGAAACCGAGGGCCACCGAAGAGGAGTGCAGCAACTTAACCACTGGGCCATGGGGCCAGTCCCTAGACTATGTCTTTTTTGTTTGTTTGTTTTTTGAGGAGGATTGGCCCTGAGCTAACTGGTGCCAATCTCCCTCTTTTTGCTGAGGAAGACTGGCCCTGAGCTAACATCCACACCCATCTTCCTCTACTTCACATGTGGGACACCTACCACAGCATGGCTTGGCAAGTGGTGCCGTGTCCGCACCCGGGATCCAAACTGGCGAACCCCAGGCTGCCAAAGCAGAGCATGCACACCCAACTGCTGCACACTGGGCCGGCCCCTAGACTATGTCTTGATATTAGTTGTTCTGGGCTAATATTCTCAGGTATGCCTTGTGCTCTTTCAATATATAGTTTTGTTTTATTTTTTATTTCAGGAAAATTTTCTTGAATTACGCTCTTTAACATTTGTTCTATTCCTTTGCTTTGGTTTTCTTCTGCAGGAAGAAGATCTGCTTTGCTTCCATATTTGTTACTTGCTTTCAAATTATTTTCTTTTTAATCTTTCGAAAAATTTTGTCTTGAGATGATTTTAGATTCACATGCACTTGTAAGAAATAACACAGAGAAATTCTATGTGTCTTTCAGCCAGTTTCCCCCAGTGGTAATATCTTGTGTAGCTATAGTAGAATATGAGCCAGGATATTGATGGTGATACAATCCCCCAGCCTTATCAGATTTCATCCGTTTTGCATGTACTTGTGTGCATATTTAGTTCTGTGCAATTTTGTCACGTGTAGATTCCTGTGAGCACCACTACCGTCAAGATACAGAAGAGTTTTGTCTCAAGAATCCCTGTGTTTCACTTTTATAGCCAAAGTCACCTCCCCCTCCTCGTCTTCCCTAGTCCCTGGAAACCAGTGGTCTGCTCCCCATCTCTATAATGTTGTCACTTCAAGAACGTTATACAAATGGAATCATATAGTATATCACCTTTTGGAACTGGCTTATTTTTACTTAGCCTCATTCCCCGGATTGTCATCGAAGTTGTTGGGTTTATTACTAGTTCCTTCCTTCCTATGGCTGAGTAGGCTTCCTTGGTGTGGATGCACCATACTTAGTATAACCACTCATCTCTTGAAGGACATCTGTGCTGATTCCAGTTGTTGGCTATTGCAAATACAGCTGCCATGCACATTCGCGTTCAAGCTTTTGTACGTGGACAGGTTCAGCCTGCCTGCTTTCCACTGGATATCCCTTGACTGTTTTGGGGTTCCCTTGTTCTCAGGTCTGTCAGATGCTGCCCCCTTGCTTCTTCCTCTGATAGTCTCGTGGGTTTGTGGTTCATGAAGATAGTTTTTCATCTGTTTTTGTTGTCCATGCTTTCCTTGAGCTTTTGCTCCTAAGTTTTTCTGCTTTCACGTGGGTATTCAGAGAGATTGAAAAATTATGCTGCCACTGCCCCCATTCTTCATAGAATCTACACCTCAGCTACGTATTTTTAAAAAATCTTGGGGCCGGCTCCATGGCCGAGTGGTTAAGTTCGCACGCTCCACTCTGGCGGCCCAGGGTTCGGATCCTGGGCGCGGACATGGCACCACTCGTCAGGCCACGTTGAGGCGGCGTCCCACATCCTACAACTAGAAGGACGTGCAACTAAGATATACAACTGTGTACGGGGGGATTTGGGGAGATAAAGCAGGAAAAAAAGTAAATAAAAAATCTTATATTTTATTGTTTATTTCTATAATTTGTGTCATGAGTGGAATCCAGACACCAGCTCAGTATGTTGCAGGAGATTTTATTAATAAATTCATTCTTTAGTTCAATCTTTCAGGCCCAGAAGCCATGCCTAGATTCATACATCAGCTCTTACTTATTAGCTATTATTTTGAGCAAGTTAATTAACCTCTCTGTACTTCAGTTTCTTCATGTTTTACATAGGGATGATGCTGGGAATATTTTCATTAGCTTCCTGTGATAATTAAAATGTGGTAATGTGTGTAAGACTCCTAGAGTAGTGCCTGGCACATAGTAATTGCTCAGGTAAATTTTAGTTATTACCATTTTCTTTGCATATCTGTGTTCTAATTCAACAGGTATGGATGTTAAAGTTTAACTTGCAGAGTACAGTCTTATTTCTTTGATTTTGAAGTTCTTAGGGGAGAATTCTATCAACTAAGAACTAATATATCTTACCGTATTTTTCCTTTTAAAAAGGTTGTTAAAGTAAATTTACATGTATTTGGATTTTATCTATGCTTTGAGTATTATTTTTGGCATGTTATAATCAACTTGCTTCTGGAAAGTAGGACCTTTGTTCTATACAGGGTCTACATAGCAAGTGCTTGTCTGCTGAATTAGTTGTGATTGTGACCCAGACACTCTGCACACTGGATGCAGCTAACACGCTGTGTCTGTGACTGGAATGGGCCGTCACTGCTCTGCCCTGTGTTGCAGCACTCTTCCCAGTCTGGATGCCCCTTACCCCATGTTGATATTAGTCGGTCCTCAGGCTTGTGGGAAACGAGAACTTGCTCACCGCCTCTGCAGAGAGTTTAACACTTACTTCAGATATGGGTAAGTTTGCTTATTGTTTGGTAAGGCTGTAAAATCGTGGATATTGCTAATTTTGACTATTGATTTTAAGCAAGTTCAAAAATGTACAACTTAATATTTAAGTTATATTTTACAGCTGAGCTGAAAGTGGTAAGTGACTTGAATGTTCAGTAGATGTTAACCTTGGTAAGGAGAGCGCACCGTGAGTGCTGTAGTCCTGGAAGGTGCATTATTAATAATATAGGATCGATGTGATTACCTGGTCTTGGAATGACTAGAAATCTTGATTCTCGTGTCATTCTAATTGATGTGGTAGAGACGATTGCTAAGTATACTTCAAGTAAAAGAAGAACTTAACAAATAGCAAGAAGAAACAAAATATTTTGTCTTCTGCGAAGCAGACAGTAAACACATGGAAGTGACCCCCGCCTCAAAAAAAGAAAACGAAAACAGAAACATGATTCATCCATGCCATTGTGCACTTTTTCCATAGAAGGCTTATCAGCTTCTTTGCCATTTATTACACTGTGATACACACTGGGTAATATATATATATTTTTTACTTTAATTCTCTGAATATTTAACTTAATTCAGTGCCAGCCAAAATCATTCTCCAAGGTTTGAAAATGCAGGTGTTTTTCATTAAGCATCGTGGCGCTGGAACGCAGGCTCATCCTGTCGCTGTGCAGTGTGACAGCGGGAATCACAATGTTGTGATGCGTGATGGGCGAGCCTGTGCACCGGTGACAGCCTCTCCTCAGCTCTGCCGGCACTCATGCTGACAGCACTTCAGCTTTATCTCCACACAGATCTGCTTTTTTTGAGGCCTATTTCAGGAGGAAGGAAAAGGAGGAGGATGGAAGGGGGCAGCAAAAGTGTTCCCTTCTCATGTCCCCAGGATAGCCGTCAATATGCTTTCAGTTTTCTGGAGCAACTGTTTTGCTGCCTGATTCCCTAATGACCCAGTTAAAATAGAGGGAAATATCCGAAAAACTAGAACCATCCAAAAACTCCTTCAGCTGGATTTACAGACTTCTTTTTTTTTTGAGGAAGATCAGCCCTGAGCTAACATCTGCTGCCAATTCTCCTCTTTTTGCTGAGGAAGCCTGGCCCTGAGCTAACATCCGTGCCCATCTTCCTCTGCTTTATATGTGGGACGCCTGCCACAGCATGGCTTGCCAAGAGGTGCCATGTCCACACCCGGGATCTGAACCGGTGAACCCCAGGCCGCCAAAGCAGAATGTGCGCACTTAACTGCTACGCCACCGGGCCAGCCCCTACAGACTTTTTAAAGGTTTCCAGGAATCAGATTTCAAATTATCACTGTCATCTTTTGAACTGGTTTCCTCTTGTATTTTTTATGTATAACAAAGAAATCGCTTTTAGATTAGTGATGTTTGTTAGTGACCTGAAGATGTGGCTGCAAAGATGCATTGGACAGCAAGAAAAATAAATGCAAATTATTTTCTAATGCTATTACAGAAAAGTTCCTTCCCTCAGGCTACACATATTCAAACAATGTAAATACTATTTTAAATAGGTACATTTATTTAGATATCTAAAATTACATCCTTCGTTTGAACAACTCTAGGATACAAATACTATAGAATAGTTTATTCATTAATATGTCTTAAACACCCTGAAGTAAGAAAACTAAATTAAAACTTAATATTAGAATAAAAAGGATAGAGGGCCATTATGCTCATATGGGAGTACTGAACCTGTTTTAAAAGATAAGTGGAACGCAATGAATGGTAGGTCAAACTAGGGCAAAGGGGGGCCTCCTGACTATTGTGCTAAGATGTAAACCTGGAACCTTTTAGCAAACCAAAGTGACTTGGGAGAACCAAGCCTTTCTCTGGTTAGAATTCCTTTCACATCTTGGTACCAGTTGTTTTGCAAATGGTTGGTGGCCTGGTCCTTCATGTTTGTTTGTGATAGCGCTGCTGACACACACAGGGTCAGATGTGTTCTTGGAGATGTTTATTCACTCATCATCAGAGTTAAGATTCTGATCCAGTCTGATGCTACATTCTCACCCGGGTAGGCCCCCTAATTATTCATGTTCGTTAAATCCTCTATTTCCCCTATTAGAAGGCTTATCCATTAGGCTTGTTATTAAATGATTTAATGCCTGTTTTCCCTGCTCATCTGTATGCCCAGTGAGGGTAGGGACTAATGTCAGCTTTGCTTACCATTGAGTTCTCAGTGCCCTGCACATGGCCAGGCACTTAATACATGCATGAAAAATATTTGTTAAATGAGTAACTGATTGAATGAGTGAATGAATGAATGAATGAATGAAGGGCATTGCATGCAACGTTTAGTGGGAAATTACTGTGATAAGAAGCATAGGTGATTTTGCCCAACCTGTGCTGATGGATATATGGAGAGAAGGATAGATTCATTCATTTGCTCATTCATTCTTTGAGTAAGCGTTTATTGAGTTCCTCCCATGTGCTAGGCCCTGAAGACACAGTGAGAATGAGATTGGCAAGGTCTTTTCCTTAATGAAATTTGTGATCTAGTGAGGAACTCAGATCCTAAATAATTGGTGGTGTGTACAGTGTGTGTGGAGGCACAAGATGGCAAAACAAAATCCTAAAATTAGCATCATGTCTATACAGTTACTGCTGCCACTGCTATTTTTCTCCTCTGGGTAGTATTAATGGTGAATGCAAAGATGCTCCTGACTCTTCCACTACCAACTGCACCCTCACTCACCCACCTCCCTCACAGGCTCAGAAGCATCGTCCAGCCATTCGTTGACATCCTCATGGAGGCAGAGATCAGGGTTTATTCAATGGCAAATCATTCTAAAAAATCCCATCAGGATGTGAATCAAAGATCATAGCATTGGATACAAAAGGATAGTAGACAGCTAGTAATTCCATCCATTGAGAGAATAAGATACTACTACTATTATATGCAGCAACTTTCTAATTAAAACGAATGATAAAACCAAGCACAGCCTCAGGAGCAGCTCATTACTCTTGTTTATATTCTATTTTATTTTATTCTTTATCTAACATAAATTTTATTTATTTTTAATTAAATGAAAAGAAAAAAAGGCATGAATACCATCTCATCATGAGACATGTAAGCATTTACAGAGGCACTTTGCCATTTGCTTGAATCTTTTCTTTCCTCCTATTTATTTCATTTTTCCTGGTGTTTTGTCTTCCTTTTTAAATTGCCTTGACCCGAGACCAAGACATTCAATGTGATGTTTGTGTGCTAACTTGCACATCCAGATATATAAATATTAGAAACATAACTCGGTGGTATAACAAGTACTGGTGTGGCTGAGGGATTTGCTCTTGTCTTAGGTTTTAACTTTACTATTTGTTGTTGGTTTTAGAAATAGGTTAGATGTTCTTTCTTTATCTGTATTAGTTATCAGTGGGCTGGACATATGCATTTACTGCCGTCAGAGTCTCTCTATTTCCATCCTTAATATTACCACACAGATCAGTGGCTTCCTGAAGAGCGCTGGATGATGAGGGGAACAAAACAACACCAGCCTGCCTGCTCATCTTCCAGAGTGGAGGCCCTGAAAGTGATCTGAATGGTCATGAAAGAAAAATTTTATTCTTCTTCCTTAGATTTCTATTTTCTAGCAATCTCTATTTTCATAACCTTTCTCGTGGTGTTGACTACTAAACATATTTTACTTTTAGCCCTGTAAAACAGTACAATAAAGAACCACAGCTATTTAGCTAAGTGAGATGGTATGAGGTTCAGCTACCTCACTACAGTCTAATCTAAAGTCTGTTTATATAGAAATGGTTCATTTGTTCAATCAGTGTTGGCTGAGTGCCATCCACGTGCCATGTGCTGGTGGTAAAACTGAAACAGACAGACATGGGTCTTGTCCTCCTGGCAGCTTATAATCTAGGGTGAGATTTAGATAAGCAAATGCTGTCTAACAAGATACTTAGGTGGGTGCTGTGAGGAGGGAAGTAAAGAGCCTCTGTGATAGATGTTAAAGAGGAGTAGGATGTGGGGCTTGAGTCGGGGGTGAATTCTAGGCGGAAAGAACAACAGGCACGTTTGGTTAACTGAAAGGACTCTCTCTAGAATGGCTACACTTGAAGTATAAGGGAGATGGCAGAAGGTGAGACCAGACAGATAGACAGAGGTTTGATCATAAAGGGCTTCTAGGCAGAATTGTGTCACGATCACAGATGCATTTTAGAAAGCACACCCTGCCGGCCATATGGGAGACAGCTTGGGGAGGGAAGGCTGGAGACAAGGAGAACAGTTAGGACGTGGCGACAGGTGATGATGGCATGAGTTAGAAAGTGGTGTGTTGTTACTGGAAAGTGGACAAAGTAGTGGCTTCCTGAAATTTGATACTCAGACACAGTGTGTGCTGGAATCTTCTGTGTTCATGATCTCTTAAATCCTGTCCAGCAGGGGCTGGCCTGGTGGCACAGCAGTTAAGTGTGCACGTTCCGCTTCGGTGGCCCGGGGTTCGCCAGTTTGGATCCTGGATGCGGACATGGCACCTCTTGGCAAGCCACGCTATGGCAGACGTCCCACATATAAAGCAGAGGAAGATGAGCACGAATGTTAGCTCAGGGCCAGTCTTCCTCAGCAAAAGGAAGAGGATTGGTAGACGTTAGCTCAGGGCCAATCTTCCTCAAAAAAAAAAAATATCGTGTCCTGCAATTTACTGACATATATTTGCATTGGGCTTTCGGATCAATTTAATTTGCCTACTAAGTGCTCCAAGAGTACCTGGGCTTTTGTGGACACCCATTCACAGAGTTCACTTACCAACAATACGATGTGCTTCAATATGCTTGACTTTAGATGCACTCACAGCCAAGCCTCTGCTTAAATATTTGCAGTAACAAGAAGTTCATTATTTCCTGAGACAGTCTGGTCCACAATTGAGATTCTAAATCTGCATGCTTCTGAATCAAACTAAAAAATTTCTATTTCCTCATCCACCTGCGAGCTCTTCTTACACATCTTTTCTTCCTCATGTATTTCCCTGGATATTTTAACATTCCCTTATTTGGCCTGGCCTTCCAGATGCCTTTTTCTCCTGATCATCTGCTCCTCTCTGTGGGCTTGGCTTATTAGGATCCTCCAGGACAGCTGGCCGATGAATTGGCCTTTAGAATGTCTAAACTCACCCTTAGACTTTTAGGGGCAGTGCTGTGGTCTGGGGTTAATCTCTAACTCAGTTCTTTTATCTGTTAGTTGAAACTAGCAGGGAATATGGCCCCCATTATAAACTATGATTTAACTAATTCACCATGATTTAATTAGTAAACAATAAACTCATGGAAATTTAAATTACACTTGAAATTATATTTAAACAGGGGAGAGGAGAGATATTGAAGGTGGTGGCCCAAGTTTCTTTGTCTAAAATTTGGCATCATTTTTTCAAAGTGAGTTTAGCGAAACATTGCTTTCACTATGAAATATTTCCTTTTTAAGGTCTTCATATTTGAGCGGCATACTACACAGCGAATGTATCTTTATGTGAAAATTGGATGACAGATTAAAAAAACCGCAGGTCATCTTAGGCCCTTCTTAATAGAAAGTGCCACAGAAGATGCAGTTCTGTCATCAGCATTTGCCATGTCAGTGAAGCCATCTCTTTGTTTACCTGCCTAGAAGCTTCAAATTGCTTCTCTACTTTGTCTTCCTTTTAGAAATTCTGGAAAAATTCCTGCCGCTTAATCCTTTGGTTGAGAAATGCAAATTCCAGGCAGTGTGTAAAGGCCATGTTGAGGGTGAGCAGCACAGGATGCCAAGTCGCTGATTTATCTGTCCTGGCTGTCAAGGTCACCAGTAGACAGGGCGTCTCAGGTCCCTACTGAGGTGTGTGAAGCAATGCCAGTGTATTCAAACCACAAAACAAATGTCATGGTGTTTTGACAGTCTTCTCTTAGAATGTACTCTCTTTCCTGAGTATATGGTTTAAATGTGTTGTTAAGACCTTAAAATTTACTAGTGTGGTTAATTCTTGATTATAATGGAAGGAGAATAGTGGAATGAATTACAAAAATTTATTAGTCTTTGACTTTGTAATGGAGAGGCTTTTGAGGTTACGACTTTACCTTCTCAGTATGATATTAAAAGGAATTGACTCCGGTGGGGCTGGCCCTGTGGCATAGTGGTTAAGTTTGCATGCTCCACTTTGGCAGCCCAGGGTTCACGGGTTCAGATCCTGGGCACAGACCTCCATACCACTCATCAAGCCACGCTGTGGTGGGGTCCCACATACAAAATAGGGGAAGACTGGCACAGATGTTAGCTCAGCAACAATCTTCCTCAAGCAAAAAGAGTGAGATGGGCAACAGATGTTAGCTCCGGGTCTATCTGCCTCACCAAAAAAAAAAAAAAGAATTGACTTTGGAGTCATCCTGGCATGGCTACTTAATGATGTTGCTTAATTGCTGGGCCTCAGTCTCATCATCTGTAAAATGAAAACAATAACACCTACCTCATGGTTTTTATTGGGAATAAATGAAATAACCTATCAAGGGTCTAGCTCTTCTCATCTCCTATTTTAAAACTACAGGATGATCTAAAAATTGGTTTGTATTCCCAGAGCTTAACACTGAGAAGTCAGAATGGGATGACGTCAAGAGTCCTAGGCTAGTTGGGACCCTCATCATCTAGTTCTGGGACCGACACTGGCCTGCTCTGTGGCCTCGGACAAGTCATTGTTATAGTCAGCTCTAAAATGGCTGTTATCATGGCTGTTAGCCGCTGCACAGGTTTCGTTTATTCATTCATGTTACAAATATTAGTGAATGCCTACTATGTGCAGGGCATTGAGAATGCAGTGGCCAGGAAGATGATCAAGATGAAATACTCCCCTCATGATTCATATGTCTTGCTGGAAAAGAGGAAAAAACCTAACATGCATCTAAAAGCAGGCAGTTTTGGGGATAGAGAGTAACTGCAGGTGTGGGAGGTGGGCTGGGAGTGTTGTTTCCGACCGTGGTCAGAGAAGCCCTCTCTGGGTGAGTTGAGAATTCCATTCAGCATTGGAATCACAGATTCCCATAGGAGGTTCACGCACAGTATTGAGAAGTGTTGGCAGCGTAGTGGAATGAGCTCATCTCTGCCCTCAAACTGCAGAGGAGATGGGGTCCTGAACAAGGAGCTGGGATGCAGCTGGCGGAAGACACTGAGGCTGCAGGTGTATAAAGAGATGCATAACCCAGTGATAGGAGGTCAAGGACAGCTTCTTAGGGGGATGGCACTTCAACTGAGTCCTACAAGACAAATGGGTTAGCCCGGAGGAGGGGTGAGGAGGGGAGCACGCGGAAAATGCCCGTAGATCAGAGAGAACGTGAAAACACGTGGGTGGAAAATATGTGAGTAATAAATATTGTTATACTTCTTAAAGTATTATTATGTGAGAGCAGAGGAGGTGGTTCAGAAGGTGACAAATATCAATGAGTAAGAATTTGGTGTCAATAATATAAAATGTGTCTAATCCCTGTGGAGCGTAGTGGCTGAGTATAGTCTAGCGCTTCAAAACCACAGGGTTTTCACAGTTATGATACTTTACGATTTATGATTCATGGATCAATTTCAATTTTTAAAACATACTTTATGCGGATACCTTTTCCATTTTGGAATTCAGGTTAATAGAAATAGACTAGGTTATCTGTTCTACGTTTTCAGGGCCTGTCACACCACAAGACCGCCTTACTTTGGAGAAGGGGATCGAGTTGATTATCATTTTATTTCTCAAGAAGTTTTCGATGAAATGCTAAACATGGTAAGAATGTTCTCCTGTATTTTTATTGCATGAGACGTATATGTTCTCTGGTAGAAATATTAGGAAGTAGCGACAGAAAGGATAACAGATTTTGTATTTGTTATGAGAAAGATGTTCTCAATGAGTTGTTTTTTTCCTTAAACCACTTAATATATCATTGTTCACATGCTGTCTTATTTTATGATCTTGGAGAAAATATTACGAATTTCCAATAAAACTGAATGAGTAGATGTTTTCAGAAAATAGAAGTAAAAGCTCTACAAAAAATTCTTGTGATCTGTGTTCATCAGGTGCTGCCATTATCAATCAGATTTTACTCAAAATAGACAGTTCTCACAGACCTGATGTGATGTACGAAGCATTCTTAGGATTGGAGTGTTCTGTCCAGAGACCACTAAGTTTTTATCCCCTGAAACCCTGTTAATCTAGTTATTGGTAGTAATTCACAACACCCTCTTCTCTGAGTTCATTTTCTTAAAAACAATTTATTTCTTCTTTCTTGGCCTTTACCTGCAAAGGGACTCCTCATACCCAAGTGTATTTTTTCTCTCAAAAGTATATGCTGATGTCAATACATATCTACCCGTGCCTTCGGTTAAACTGAAAAAGTATCTCAGATTTTCATCACTACTGATGAGTCTGTAATCCTTTTATTTTCTCTTCACCATAGGCCTTAATTTTGTTTATATTATCATCCTTTCTTTCACCAAATGAATCCTGCACCACTTTTTTTTCTGAAGCTGCCAAAGGGCCGGATTAAGGACTAGTCTATTTCTTTTTACAAAAAATCACCATCAAACGAGTGATGCTCTTGTAGCTACGTCTCCCCTTCCCTCTCTCCCTGTCCCCTTCCTCCCTCCTTCGCTGTCCTCCATCCCCAAACAATGGACCTGGCTTGTACCTCAGTGTACATAACTGTGGAACATGTAAGTGCAGGCCCTGCAGTTTCTACCTGTTTAACTTGGAATGCCCAACTTTACACATGGCACGTAGTTTCTCTTGTATTCACGGAGAACCCCCACTGAGAAAGTCCTATAATCCCTAGGCCATTTCCCCTCTAACCTTGTCAAAAGAACCTATTGGAAATTCTTTATAATTTGCTCTCCTAGGGCTATATTTTGGCAGTTCATTTTCATGTATCAAGAGTACTCTGGGAGTTTATATTTCTAAAAGCTTTAATAGAGATTTGAGGGGTTATCTTGATATTAGTAAGGAGCATTCTCTTTGAATGATATTAGTAAGGACTCTTTGGGTTTAAAGACAACTAGTTCCTAAAATTAATGTTAACTTCTCTTGTTAGAGTCTGAGGCATTTTTTCTTGGTTTAGTTCATCTGTTCTCAGTACCCCATATGCTCCCCTGGTGTTCCGTACCTTGTCGGATCTGTAATAGAGTAAGTCTGCTTCAGTTCCTCCTCTTAGAAATCACTGTACTTGTATACTATATTTAGTCTTACAGTTTTACTCCCTCTACAAAAATCCATATGTGTTTGAGAAGTACTCATTTTTACTGCTTCTGCTAACCTATATTACTTCAATATAATGTCATTTTCTTCGACTTGAATTTTCCTTCTGATCTCCTTTTCTTTAAAGTGAGTTTGAGCCTGTTTCATGAAGAAAGACAAACCTAGAGATTATGAACTCATGACACATTGTCATCTTCACTAACCTCAGCCACACACTCAGCCTTCTGTACACAGGACCCCCCATCCACGGAACATGCACCCAGACAGACTGTGTCCCTGTCAGTTACAGCCCCCACCACCGACAGACAACCCTGGCATACCCCATTGGCACACACCTACTGTGGGCAGTCACACCTACCCACTCTGACAGATACACATAGACTCGTACACCCTTCGTATACATTCACCCCCCCCCCCATACGCAGATCTTCCACCACCCCCACGTGCCCGCAGACACATGAACCTTTTTTAAGGACATATACACAATCACTTACCTGCAGAGACTCTTCCCCGCTTGTGGAAATAAGACCACAGATCTGGAGTCTCTGAAATGTGATTATTGCTATTTATTAAGAAATCCACAGGCAGGAAGAGACGAAAGGAGTATCATCATCCAGGAGCTGGGGCACCTCTTCATCTCAATTCTTAAAAAAATCAGTTTAATAGAGCCTGTTTTATAGACATTAGTAGTATATGCATTAGTACAATGCAAGATTCCTCCCAACCCTACATCCTTTCAAGAAATGTTTTAGGGGTCCACGGAGGGAGGCCCTTACGTATGAGTAAATACACTCATAGCATATCTCTCAAAAGTGATTCAAATGTACATTTTGAAAATGGAGTGAGTCACAGTAAACAAGATAACGTACATACCTGACAGGAGATTCAGATATCTATCTATATAGATATAATCCGTATATTAAAAGAAAAGGAGTCACAGTATTTATTCCGTAGAACAAAGAAGGTATACCACTGAGGAAGTAAAATATTAAGGATATTTATTGTTGAGATTTTAACTTTAGAAAGCATGAAATAAACTTCTTTTGATTATGGGGGGTGTTGTGGATTTTCCTCCTCACCCACAGCAGACACAGAAGATAGCTTTTGGAAGAACTGGGCTTCCAGAATACAGAGAGAACGCAGTATTTATACTTCAAATGCCTGTGGGCACACAACAGTTCTATTGAATAACATTTGAGGTGGTTTCAATAAAAAGCTGTGTTTATAAGGAAAAATTGGATGAGCCTGTTTTTTATGGCTTATCTCAGGATGCAAAGGTTTTAGGATATCCCTGTAATTCATGGCCTTCAGGCTTATCTGGGATTGCAAGGCTTTTGAGGGTGGACGCTTTTTCTGGGCTACCTGGTTTGCTGGCATAGCCAAAATGGCTGAGGCAAAGGGCGAACTATTAGTTTTACTCTCTCAATAACAAAGGTTTATGGTGCAGCTTTGGCAGGAAGTGGGTAAGTAAGCAAAATGATCTCTTCTCCCATAAGCTTTAGTACCTTCACTCTCCTTAACGTTTTGTCAGCAGATTACTTCCAAAAGCTTAATGTTTTTGCCAGCTGAGAATTCTGAATAAATTTCTCTATCACAGTTTGATATTGAGTTTCATAAACCCATTGTCATTCTTATATAGTTGCTAATATTTGTAAGTTTTGTGGAATCATATAAAAGTAAGACACCAAATACTTTTATTTATATTAAATTCCATTATGGCAGCTGTTATATGAAAATCTTTGTACTTCTTAAATTTCAGGGGAAATTCATTCTAACATTTAATTATGGTAATCACAATTATGGATTAAATAGGGACACCGTAGAAGGTATCGCAAGAGATGGTTTAGCAAGCTGTATTCATATGGAAATAGAAGTAAGTGTTTTTCATTCAATCAATTTATTTTTTACATGAGTGAGTTTGTACATATATATATATTTGGGGTTGGGGTGGGAGCTACAATGTACAGGTAGCACCTTAGGCACAAGAGGAGTGCATACAAAAGTGAGATTTTAAGTTTATAATTAGTATGTGGAGGCAAGACACATGAAAAATTAAATGGCAGGGATTAAATTACAGTACAAGAAATTGCACTTTTGCTATGAGTGAAACTGCCATTCAAGATTTATTTTCTAAGTGATTTCCACACTAAATTATTCTTTTTCTTTTTAGAGCACGGTCTCTGTTTGTGTAAAGTGATGTTAGATAAAGCCTGATTCTTACAGGATGTGGAACTGGTTCCCTGTCCCCTCAGGACCATGGCAGCTCCATGCAGTTGACGTTCCATCGTTCTTCATGGGAGCTGTGTGGGCTAGGCTGTTACCTGACTCCCGTTGCTCACTGGTTGCAGTGTATTCATTCTTCCAGCAAGTTAGACTTGCAGATTTCAGATTTCTCTCTCTGCCCCAACTTGCCGTCTTCCCCCAGTGATCTATATTAGAGTACATAGAAATTTCTCTAAAATTCAGATCCAGAGTAAAAGCATGAATATTCCACCCATTTGTCTTTAAATATATGGCTTTATTAGATATTTGAAATCTTCAAAGACAGCTGATTTTTTTTTTCAAGTTATCTTCTCCAAACGGTATAACACTTTTGTAGTCAGAAGAAAAAGATGTAATAAAAATGATTCCATGAGACCAAACTTATGCAAAGTCAAATCTGGGCACATCTAGTGTTCCTTTATATCGACTCTGAATCTTTCTTAAAACTTGTTTCCTTGATAACTTCGCAGAGCAGGAGACTGAGTCCTTTTGGCTCCTTGCATTGGTTTAAGTGTTGCCTAGCTTCAGTGAAACTGGCCACGTTTCTTCCAGCTCTTTAATTTTCCTACCTTCAAAATCCTGCAATTCTTATCTTTCTGCAATTGATTGATTTTGCATCTTTAGGAAGATTTCCATTGTTTCTATGCTAATAAACAAAAAAAGCCTTTCCCCAAAATGTCTTCTTTGGGCAAGGCAGAAATAAAAATTAAGACATCTTTGCATGCAGAAAGTCTCCAGCAAATTGTGTCTACCTGTTTCCAGTTCATCAGTCCTCTCAGTGCTGGCTCCTGTTGTACTTTTTCTCTCCCTGAGAGCTTTCTCCTACTCATTGCCTAGAAGTTGAGTCTATAAATCAGGTTTTATTCTCCTGATTCTCCCCAGCTATAGCATTTTTCCAAACTGCTCTTGGTATTGACTCTCGTAGAAATTGTTTTTTAAAAGAGCCTGTATTTCCTCCCCCAAATTTTTAAAGCAAAGATTTGGAACATTGAATTAAACTATTGATGATAAGATTGAGATGGAGGGAGCTTTAGAGTTCATGTGGAATAGCTCTTCTATTTCACCCATGAGGACGCTGGCAGTCAGGGAGCTGGAGGGATTTGCACAGAGTCTACAGCAGCTGGAGAGCTGCAGTCACAACCCAGCTCCCCAGATCCGCAGACCACCACCTGCCAGTGTTCACGCTCTGAGCTCCTGGTATCAGGGTATCATGAGCTTGGCTTTCCCATGCTCTGGGAAGAAGCCGTGAGGTGTAATAGGAACCGACCAACCAGGCTGCCAGTTTAGGAACAGGAAGGGTCCCAAGGAGACAGAAGGGTAATAGAGGAGCCTTTCCTCTCTGGTAAGATCACTATCTCCTGGTGCTGCAAGGATGCCTTTTGAAATGTGAAATTGAAATTACTCTTCAGTAATGAAGATGCAGTACTGCTGTCAGTGTACCTATTTGTATCTAGCCATTTTCTTTTCTTTCTTCTTCTTCTTCCTTTTTTTTGGTGAGGAAGATTGACTCTGAGCTAACATCCATGCTAGTCTTCCTCTACTTTATATGTGGGATGCTGCCACAGCATGGCTTGATGAGCAGTGTGTAGGTTTGCACCCAGGATCTGAACCTGTGAACCTCAGGGTTGCTGAAGTGGAGCACGCAAACCTAACCACTATGCCACCAGGCCTGCCCCACAATTTTTTTTTTAACAGTCATATTCATTAAAGTCATTAGTTAGAAGTTACCAGGTAGAGTGAATTCTTGTATTTCCAATGATAATTTAATGTTTGATGAACAGAGAGAAGTAATCCAATCTTGAGATATTTATAGTAAAATAATAGCTAATTATACAGATAAATTCTTCAATGTAATACTACTTATTATACCTATGTTGTCAGACATGTCCAAAATGATTTCTAAGTCATGTATTTGTTTCTAATTTATTATCTTTTCTTTAAACGCATAGGGTGTAAGAAGTTTGAAATGTTCCTATTTTGAGCCTCGCTATATCCTGGTGGTACCCATGGACAAGAAAAATTATGAGGGATACTTGCGGAGGAAAGGATTATTTAGTCGTGTAGAGATTGAATTTGCTGTCTCCAGGGTGGACCTTTATGTTAAAATTAATCAGAAATTTCCAGGATATTTTGATGCGGTAATCAATGCAGGTCAGTAACTTTCAGCCAAGTTTTGTTTTTGAAGTGTAAGGTCCCTGGGGAAAAATTTGCTCCAAAGTACATTCTTATTGTTGGCTGAATGCAGTTTCTTGTGGTTGTAGGACTGAGGTCCCTGTTTCCTTGTTGGCTACCTGCCAAGGATTGCCCTCAGTTCCCAGAGCGTGCTCCCAGGTCTTATCCATGTGGCTCGCGCCATCTTTAGGCCAGCCACAGCACATCCAATCCCCCTCATGCTTTGAGTCTCTGCCTTCCTCTTTTGCTACCAGAAAACTCTGCTTTTGTGGGGCTCATGTGATTAGAGAAGCCCACCTGGGTAGTCTCCCTTATTTGCCCAAATTCAACTGATAAGTAAGCTTAATTACTGCAAAAATTCCTTTTGCTATGTAATGCAACATAGTCACGGGAGTATTATCTCATCGTGTTCACAGGTTCTACCCACTCTAGGGGAGGAGTTTGTACACGGGTGAAGTGGCTTCGGGTCCTAGAATTCTGCCTACCACAGTAGTCATAAAATTAAACGTAGCTAAAAAATCACTACGACCAAAAAATGCCACCAAAAAAAAAAATACACCAAATTGACTGTATTTTGATGTGATTCTGTTGCTTTAAAGTACCCTCTCTCATTTACTGTAGATGATCTGGATGTTGCCTACCAAAAACTGAGTCAGCTCATTAGAGAATACCTCGGACTGTCTGAGGAAACTGCCAAGGCTCTGGCTCCAACTGCAGGTATCATCCTATCCCTTTCGTGCCAGAATTGTGTGTGTGTGTGTGTGTGTGGAAAAGAAAACAAATCTGTGACTTATTCTTTGGGTGCTCATCACCCAGGCCATAGCTGGTTTTAATTCTTTACTCCCTATACTTCTACTTCCCCTGGGTGATTGTCCCCACAAAAGAGCTGCATGAGTCAGCCCTCTGAACCTGAGCTTCTGCTTGTCTCGGTGACCGTGATGGAACTCAGAGGACTGCCCTTCAAGGACATGCAGGCCAGTGCCTTGGAGGTTCATAGTAGATAAGAGTCAGCCTCATGGTTCAGAACTCAGCCTTCCAGAGGTTTGGCTGCCTTGTGGGGCTGAGGTGGTGTTCTGATTGGCAGATTTGTATGTAGTCTTGTTTTAGTCCAAGGAATTTCTATCTCCTTTACTTTGCCTTGCCCCAGTCCTGAAAAGGCTGCACTGCAGAGTATAACGGCAGAGGACATGAGTCTGGTCCTGGCCTGCTGCTCCCTTGGGCAAGCAGCTTAGCTGTTCTGAGCTTCTGTTACTGTCCTGCTAGCTGAAGTTAATGTTCCCCACCTGCCTCGTGGATCATGCACAGCAAACGATGTAGGATATGTAAGAGTATATCTTCTTGGAATCTAGGAATTCAAAAGCCCTACTTAGAATTTTGGTACATGAGTATTTTAAGATGTATTTTAAAGGTTCGCCCCAAATCTGCCTCATACCCATTAGGATGGCTACTATAAAGAACAAAAAAAACACAATAAAATAGAAAATAAATGTTGGCAAAGTGTGGAGAAATTGGGAATGTAAAATGGTGTAGCTGCTGTGGAAAACAATATTGTGGTTCCTCAAAAATTAAAAATAGTATTACTATATGACCCAGCAATTCCACTTCTGGGTTTATACCCAAAAGAATTGAAAGCAGCCTTGAACAGCTATTTGTACACCAATGTTCATAGCAGCATTATTCACAATGGTCAAAATGTGGAAGCAACCCAAACGTCTATCGATGGATAAATGGATAAACAAGATGTGTTATATGCAGACAATGGAATTTTATTCAGCCTTAAAGAAGAAAGAAACTCTGACATATGCTACAATGTGGCTAACCTTGAGAACGTTATGCTAAGTGAAATAAGCCAGTCACAAAAACATGAATACTGTATGTTCAGAGACAGAAGGTACAATGGTGGTTGCCAGGGGCTGGTGGGAGGATGGAATGGGGAGTTTAGTGCTTAATGAGTACAGAGTTTCAGTTTTGCAAGACAAAAAGAGTTCTGCTGATGGATGGCAGTGATGGTTGCACAACGATGTGAATGTACTTAGTGCTACTGAACTGTACAATTGAAAGTGGTTAAGATGGTAAATTTTATGGTACGTGGTTTTGCCACCATAGTACTAAAAACAGAAGGTCTCCCAATGAACTGAACTGCATTCGCATATCACGTATTGTCAAATGTTAGCACGGGCCCCTTGCTGCTGCACAGCTGTTACAGCCAGTCCTTGCGCAGGTTTGTGGTCACGTGTAGTTTAGCCTTTGTGACCCTTCGGCCAAGGAGGATTTTGGTTGCCTGGTTGCATCCTGGCCAGGCTGAGGCAGGCCAGGTCATGATTTTGCCAGAGTTCAAACTAATTGTGCTGTTTTGCCATTTTAGACACTTTTCCTAGATCAGGTGCCCCTGGAATTCTGGAATGAGGCCAGTCTGAAACTGTAACAACCAACAGGTCATGACTGAGGTTTTCCTTAGGTATGTCTCACAGGAGAAAGTGACCCGGGGACAACCTACTGACTGGAAAGCACCTGAAGCAAGTGCGCCCTGCCTGAAAACAGGCATTAACAGGGGAGTGGAGGACTGTGCTCCGTCTCCAAAGGGGGATCATTCAGTCAGGGGCGTGGCGGTGTGCTTGTCCAGCTCGGCTCCGATTCGCTGCCTCGGGCATTGGATCTTTAGAAAGCTCTGCCGGCCCAGTTGCGTAGTGCATCTAATGAGGCATCTGTAGCTCCGTGGAAGTTTCTCTTGAGGAAGTCTGGCTCCCTTTGCTTTCAATCTTTGCAAACCCAGCAACCTTCTGATCTTTAATTTGGTCCCGGGGCAGACTTGTCCCTGTGGGGCTTGTCCCCTACGTTAGGACACCCTGCCCCGATCCCTGAGCCAGCCCATCTCTCTTTGTAAATTAATAAAATGGCGTTCTGGCTTTCAAATCAGCCCCTTGTGGGTTTGGATAAACATGAGTCAGTCCCTTGAGCCCGACCAGTTCTGAGTAACTGAAAACAGTGTGTTTCTGAATCAGCAGCACAGGGGGGCCTCTGAATGGTGGCGCTTGAGCAGCTCTCTGCCTCAGTAGCCAGCCAGGCTCCGTCTCTCCATCTTTTCTTATTCTACAAGCATCAGAACACTGACTACTGGGTGCAGTTGCCATTCGGTGAATTAATAGACCAGACAATGTATGCATAGAAAAGTGGACTCCTATTTTAAGGGCCATAATAAAACTTCATTTATTTGGACCAATTGGGTTAGGCCTGTCTGATTTAATGAAAAGTATGAATTATAGAATTTGTAAAAATGTTATCACTCTCAGATACATTTAATAACTAAACTGGGCCATCCGATTATTGACTAATATAATCTCAGCTTTAAAAAGTAGATGGGAGGGTTTGTAATTAATGTATCAACTCACTGGCCTCAACAGACCCCTGTTCTTCTGGCAGGGTTTAGTATTTTGGAAAATAATGTGTTTTCTTAAGGAGCCAAACACTTTATTTTATGTATACAGTTAATCTGTGGAGGAAGTTTCATTTTTCAGTTGACGGTTTAAGGATAAACTTGCACATAAAGTGACTTTGTGCAGGCCAGACATTATTCAAGTGACTATTAAAAGTTCCAATTAACATAGTCCTCCTTAATAAGCCTTACAGTGTCTCTAGTGGCCAAAGAGTAGAGGCAGAGGCCTCTCTGGGTTTCAGGGCCATGAAGCTTGTGCCAAGGAGCGTGGGCCAGATGTTTACAGATTCCCTGAAGGTGAGCGGAGCCCAACCAAAATCACCTCAAGGCCCAGAGCCCCAGCAGGGTCACCTCCTTGGGTCTGCCCGGCTCTTACCTCTTTGCCTCCGCTCTGAGCTGGGTCACTCTGATTTTAAGTTCTGTGGTTTAGGTATATTTACCTAAGTACCTACCTTACTTACATAAGTGGGATCCCTAGAAACAAAAGTCAGTAATTTTAGTACATATAGCACTATATTCTTTTTATATAATTGAGCTGTCAACAGTAAGAAATTGAAATAAAAAAGATTTAAGATTCTTTGAAAGACAGTTTTTTTATTTTTTTTAAATTTTTTTATTTTGAAAGACAGTTTTGTCTGAGCAATTAGAAAACTGAAAGGAAATAGGAAGCCTTAGTTTTGTATTCTCAATTTCACCAATAATCATAAATTTGGTTAGAGATCACTTTGAACTCCCATTTCTAAAAAACAAAAACAACTATGTATAATATTATGGAACATTGTTGGAATCTGATCTTCCAGAGCTGAGGTTTTTCCCAGCTGGATTAGACTATTCATGTGTTAGGTTTCAGTACAAACAGAAATCTGAGGGCCAACGGCATTGTTGTCATGGAAGCAGTAATTCTGTATCAGTGCAAACTGAAAATTATTCCCCAATATAATAAAGCATAGCCTTATCTTTAGTAATTTTATGTTGCTAATTTGTAACTGAGAATGCAATTTTAATTTCTATTCTCAGTGGTGAGGAAGGCACAAAGTGATAAAAGTAAGCCAGCGGTCCATCAGTCTGAGTAGAGCAGGCCCATTACCTTGGACCCAGAAATGTAAACCTACACCAGGGGAGAGACAAATGGAATTCTCATTTAATACATGTATAAAATAGTAACTTTAGGTACACAGTGATTTGAAGTCTCGAGATCTTTAGATGTACCATTAATTAAAAATGTATATCAATTAAAGAACAGAATTGTCTTATTTTTTCCCCCATAGCAATGCAGATAGTATTCATTTCTAAAGCATGAAGACTGAAAAAAAGCCTGAGTAAACAATATAGTCTCTATAAAAATAAGGAAAAACTCACTATATTCACAACTCATATAAGGGATGTTTTTACCCTCCATTTGTCTCTATACAACCTATTTCTGGAATAGTCAGTGCTTCCAGCAAAGCTTTTAAAAAGCTGATTCAGCTACCACCCAGAGTTCTTGCCATAAAGATCATAAAATAAAATTATATTTGCAAATTATTATTCAGAATTCTGACTAATGATAGAGGAAAATGATGATGGTGATGATGAGTCAAACAGGGGAAAATTGAGCAATTTACCAGTCCATAAAGTGGTGCCTTTATCTCTAATAAAGGGCATGCTATCATTTGCCAAATTATGTGAATTGTTAAATTGTGAAAGTGGGCAAAAAAAAAATCCTGTATATCTGATTATAGGAAACCAGGAGGCTTAAAGATGGAAAGAAACTTCAGCTTTGGGTTTCACTGTTCTTATATTATTCTACCTTTTTTAAATTTACTTTTTTATTGTGGTAAAAAGAAAACCATAAAATTTGCCACTTTAACTGTACAATTTAATGGCATTAATTGCATTCATAACGTTGTGTAACCATCACCACTACCTATTTCCAAAATGTTTTACCACCTCAAACAGAAACTCTGTACCCACTAAGCAATAACTTCCCTCATACCCTAGTAACCTCTAATCTACTTTCCATCTCTATGAATTTACCTACTCTAGATATTTTCACTGTTCTTCTATTTTATTTTAACCTTGTTTCTGGACTAAATTCATATTTTAATTTATAACTGTTATAAACTAGGGAGATAAGAATGATGAACAGGGCATCCCCTCAGAAGCCCCACCAAGAGGCAAGCTTTCCCTTGTTCCCCCTTTCCCACCCCTCAACCTCCCACCCCCTCCGCTGCCCTCCTCAGAGACATCTGGATTGCCTGGATGCATAGGGTACATGCCTGGGCTAGGAGCTTCAATGAGAACCTGGAGTAGTCCAAGCTCATCCTGCTTTGTGACAGCAGAGGTGGCCAGGAGCCTGGTTTGCTTCTGGGGATGGAGCACTCTGGGATCACCTCCAAGGTCTGATTTGGTTTGGAGTCTCTGAGTATCAGGCCTCCCCCAAAGTGAGCTGAGACTAGTTTCTTCAAGGCTGTTCCAGAGCGGCATGAGCCTCTGACCAGTACCATTTCAGAGCCGTGTTCTTGGGACTGGGTTAGGATGCTATTTGGGCCACCCGAGTATATCAAGGCTTCTGTCATAGACAAGTACCCGCTGGGATGATTGTGTCCATGAGAACAGACTCACTCTGAGAACTTGCTCCCATGGTGATTGAAGGAACAATCCCTCTCTGCAACATCAACCTTGCTAGTGGCCTCTGAGATCCATTTCTGAAGCCAGGGCAGACTTGGAGGGAAAAGGGTGACCCTGGGAGTAGGGGAGAGAATAGCAGTTTGGATCATGGATTTTGGGGAGCAGCTTCTCGGAGCCGTGGTGCCTTATGATTCCATAGATCTGTTCTTTCCTTTTTTCTTTATCACTTATCTTTTGGGTGCCCGCCAAGGTCTGTGCACCATTTACCAATGCCAGGTATTGGTAAACTGACATGACTCCTCACAGAGCTCACGGCTTCTTTAAGAGGACTGCCATTAACCAAGGAAACAGACAGGACTCCACCTGGCTCAGATGTCCATCTTCTAGTTTCTACCATTAAAGCAGCATTGACCTCTAAGGTGGTGAAAATTTAAAATCTCATTTGCTTAGAATATTTTCTTGCCGCTATCAGACCTGGAAATAAATTTTGCTTCTGTGAAAAAGCCTCTTTATGTTTATTCATTAAAGTTCATGTTTTCAGTTGAATAAAATTGTTCTAAGTTCCACTAAATAAGAGAATTCTGGGCACTTAGTATCCCCAAGGAGAAGGGACAGTTGAATTCTTCTATATGTGTAATTTTATTCTTTTTAAGTGCCTATGTGTATCCCAAAAGGAAAGATATTTTTTGTTATTAATTTCTAAAGCTACATAATCGTATTTGTTAAGATGTGTTTAGCTAACTTCTTTTTATATCAAAGCAGGAGCTCCCTCTAGCAAGAAGACTCCCTCTGGGGTTCCAGCACACCTGGTTCCATCCCCGAGGCGCTTGGCAAAACTGCAAGCAGATGGCCAGATAACAGAGCATCTCTCTGGAATGCAGATTCATGCAAAGATCCCTGAAAACCAGAACCTAGCTCCCTCCCAGAATCAAGAGCTGACTCAGGAGGGAGCAACCCATCAAAAGGAGCTTTCTCCCAATAGCCATGTCACTGCTGAGCCTCCTCCCCAGCCCAGTTCATCAGCACTTGGTATTCCCCAGCAGGCCCAAGACTTATCCCCAAACCAGAAAGAAGGGGATGTTCAACAATCAGATCTTCCTTCAAAAATATTAGCCACAAATCTCCCTGAAAATGAGGCCCGGACATCTGAGGTGAAAGCAGGTGAAGTAGGGCAGCCTCCCACCACTCCTTCCCAAGGGCCTCCTCAGCACCCTGATGCCCCTCCAGCCCACAGCCCTCAGCCGGACCAGGATGAGGAATCGGGGGAGGCCAAGGTAACCCCTAGGGACCCTCCCCTATCTGAACCTCCACAGGGGCCTGGCCCAGCATCCCTCAGCCCCCAGAGAACCCAGGGTGAGGAAACTGAGCCAGCCAATCTGCCACCCTACAGTTCCCATCATGATCCTCCAAGAGATCCTTCTCAGCCTGATGGGGCCAAGGCCCTCGGACCATCTCTGGGAGAGTCTCAACAACCTCTGGAGGAGGGAACCTCCAAAGCAGAAGTTGTCCGGGTCAGCACTCCTTACCCAGAATTGCCACAACCCCAAGACTCAACAAATACCAAACAGACCCAAGACAAGGAAGACGCAGTGGCTTTGCTTCCCAGAAGCCGGCTGGCTCCCACCAGGCTGCCCCAGCCTCGCGTCCTCGCTCCCCTCCAGAGTAGGAGGCCTACACCCAAACTCCTCTCCCCCAGCAGGGAGGAGGCTCTAGGAACGGCCTCGGGTCAAATCATGACTCCCTCTCCCAGGCCTCCGCCAGCTCAGGACGGAGATCCCAGTAGACTTCCTCCCATCAGCCCTCCCCAGTCCCAACCACCACAGAATCTGAGTTCCCGTCCCGACCACAGTCCTCGGCAAGGCCAGGAGGAGAAAGTCAGGGAGGTGAAGCTCCCTCCAATCAGTCCACCCGTCCAGGAGCAGGCACCGCAGCCCGCCGCCGCTCCACCCCAGGAAGAGGAGGCCCAGGTAGTCAGGCTCCCTCGCATTCCCACTCCCTTTGCAAAGCAGCAGCTGCCTCAGAACATGGCAGCTCATGATGATTCGAGGCCTGCAAAGGAAAGGCAAGCTCCAGAAGCAGACCTCTCCTCTAGCGAGAAGATTCCAGATATGCAGCCCTCACCCCAAAACCAAGAGCCAGTGCAGCAGGTGGGGGCTAAAAAAAAAAAACTCCCTTCTCAAAGAGAGACAGCTAAAGGACCACCACATCTGAAAAAGGCACCTCCTGGAAGTCATCAGACAGCCTGGCGACCGGAAGCCCAGAGTAAGCTGACCACCCCACAAGTACCTGACCATCCTAACCCCAGCCCTCCTCAGAGCCCTGGGGGGAACCAGAGGAGAAAAGTCCATACACCAGAAGTTCGTGAACCACCCCACACTGAATCATTGCCTGAAGATCCCCAAGTACAGGAAGAGAAAAGGGAAAAAGTACATTATTCCAGGAAAAAGGCCCATACCAAGCTCCCCTCAAATGACCTGGCTCAAAAGGTAGCTGTGTCCAAAAAAGGACCATCTGTGAAAAGAGAGAATTCTGAAGGATTATCTCAAGAAAATAAAACTGCCCTCAGTGGTGATCAACCAACTCAAGAGGGTCCACCCCAGCACAGGAGGCCTCTCCAGAGGGCAAAGGCCTCAGCAGAGTCAGGAGTGGATGGTCCTGCTCTCGGGGAGCGTCCAAGGAGAAGAGAACAGGTTCCCAAACGGGGAAGGTCTCAGAAGAGAGAGACTGCTTTGGATCCCCCAGAGCGGGATGGTGTGGCCCCCACCCAGCAGCCTGTCAAAGAGACGCAAGTCCATAAAGGGACCAGTCAAATCAGAGAGAGCTCTGTCCAAAGGGACAATGCTTCCAGGCAGCAAACCGAAGAGAAATACACCCCGAAACACGGGGGAGTACCACAGGACAAAAGTCCTGCCACACCTCAGAATCAAGTGTCTGCTGAGGAGCAGGACAGTCGGACAGGAAGACTGCGGGCTAGGGGCAGTCAGAGCACCAAGGTTTAAGCCATCCCTGGGGTCCCCAGGTCATTAACATCTATGCCTCCCTGAAGCCGTGCTGTCACAGAATGGAAAGCTATGGCCAGGGCACTATGAGTCTATACATCAGTTTCCCTCTGCAACTCCAAGTCCGCGCAGGTGGAGGGGTCTGCCAGCGCTGTCCAGCCACCATTCTTAGAAGGCCGCCAGTCTTTGCACTTCTCTGCCTCCTTTGTGTCTTGCCGTTGCAGCCTGGAAGAACAGCCCCTGTAGTGAGATGCATCAGAAAGTAATTTCCCCTCTGCCAACTGATAGAGCCAGTCTTAAAGGTTGGCATCAGCAAGAAGTCTTTGTCTTCAAATTCGCACAGATTCCACCATGAGTTCCAAATCTGGCTGAAGCAACGCTATTGAGTTTTGTTCTATTCATTAGGAAAATTCACTTCTAGATTGGAAAATTCTCTCATTATCTTGCATTATCGAGGGGTCCATAAGCTAAAAGAATCCTGAGAAAGGAAGCCTTTGCAGTTTCTGGGGCTTGGTCTCTCCCACAGAGATTCCAAACCCACAGTTAATTTGTGAGAACCTTCTGAAGGGAAGAGGACAGGTTCTTTGTTCGTGTGACACTGATCGAACACTTCAGATTCGCGATGGTGTATGTTGCCTGAAACTTACTTTTGTTTTAAATATATGTCAAAATGAATACCTTCCTTCTCTCTGAATAGGAACCTCATGTAAATTAGCCCATGCCTTCATTATGCCAAACCATCTGGTTGAATTTGCTAAACGAATTAGTGGGGGGGAACATTCAGGTGAATCAGTTTTTCATTTATCTATTTGTACTGTCAGGATTCTTTTGCTGACAAGTGACGGGAGTCCAACCTGAGCCAGCTTGTGTGAATCTATTCGGAGGAAGTGAAATATCTCACACAGCTAAACTATGGGGAGGGCAGAGGTGAGGCAGAGCCTCCGAGAGATTGGGGACCAGTTATTGAACATAACCTGGACTCTCTTCATCTCCAGTATTCTCGTCATCTCCCGGACTGTCATCGTCTCCTGGACACTTGTCATCTCCAGGACTCTCATCATTTCTCATCTCTGTTTCTTTCTCCATGTTGGCTTCGTTCTCTTTGATAGAAATGACTATGTATCAGTTTCTGTACATGTGGCAGGGAACATGGTCACCAACTCCTCTCGAGTTTTACATCTGGCTTTACATCTGGCAGCTCTCACCACTAGAAAGGGGTTGACTCGGATGTTCCTTGATCCTAAGATAAAAAAATTCAGGGGAAGACTCTGCTTGGCCTGGCTTGGGTCAGATGCTCATTCTTAAACCAGTCTTCTCTGGCCGGGGGCCAGGGTCACATAGACATACCCACTGGGCCTACTCCTAGAGTGTATGGAGGCTGCATACCCAGAAAAGAGAATAATTGTGAGCAAAGTAGCCAATCCAAGATTTGACTCTTAAAAAGTTATATTTATTGAGTGCATCTGTGTAAACAGCAGCATGCTAAGCTATATTTGGCATCCTGTACTTAAAAACTTGATGGCCAAATGCCAATATAAATATGTTTTATCATACATGAAAGGTATGTGTCCACAAAATTGTTTGTATGTCAAATGTTATTTCGCGTGTCGTAGAGGAAATTGATATTTTAAAGAGTCAGTATGCAGGAATCCTCTTGTAAATGAAGAGACTATGTTATACTAATAATTACCTGCTAATTTATCTGTTTTGTCTAAGATGAAAGTAGTAAAGTGAATTTTTAACATATCATAATTTATTTTTATTTAGTTAGTTTGTCATCCAACAAACATTAATTGAGCACTTCCTATGTGCCAGACTTTGATAGTTGCCAGACAGTAAGATGATGAGGATGCTTCAAGGGAGACAGATGAGAGGTGTCATTACAACACCATGTGATTAGGACAAATGGAGGCCCCACAGAATGCTAGGCTATGTTTAGCATCAAATAGATAAGAAAACCCGTTTGTTAACTTTTCCAGAATGTCATAAAAGATACCAAGGAAGGACACTGAATTCAGCTGGCAATGTGAGAATTGGATCAGAAAACATTTTCAAGATGAAGCCATCCTTCAGCTAAGTCATCAAGCTTGCAGGATTAGTCAGCTGACTGATGGGAGAGAAGGGAAGGTTTCTTAGAAGAGTGAACAGCATACGCCTAACCATGGAGGCAAGAGCAGGCATAGCATCTTCTAAGGATTCAAATGTCAGGAGAGCAGTAGGCATATGTAGAGCCAAAGGGCCTTTTGTGCTATGCTAATGAACTTGGAAACTTGATCTTCTAACAATGGGGAGCCATTGAATAGTTAATTTTTTTGTCTTAGAAGCGTGTGTCTAGAATTAGTATAGAGATAAATTTAAGGAGGGCAATACAGGAGCCAGGAAGAATGGCTGGGAAACTATTGCCTTAGTCCTGACAAGATGGTAACGCCTGAAGTAAGACACTGTGGCAGGAATGGACAGATTCAAGAAATATTTGGATTGGATGTGGGAGAAGGCAGACTGTGAAAGAGGGGAAGAAAATAAGGATAACCACCTGTTTTATATGAGCTGTGTATGGGGCATTTTAGAGGTGCCATCCTTCAGATAGGTGAAGAACTTTAGAAATTTACTTGGTTTCCTCCTTGACCAACTTGTTCTGAGGCTCCTTAAGGCATTGGGGGGTGCGTTTTCATCAGGGTTCATACAGGAAGTGAGAAGCCAAATTTCCATCCACTTGCCTTGAAGGAAGCTCTGGCTCCTTTCTCTGGGGTCCATGATGGTAAGGTGTTGGTCTGTGTTTGTGTTTTTGTTTTGGTGGTATAAATGTCTCAGATTCAGTGCAACTGCACAATGTTTTGTCCGTGGTCCGAGGAAAGGATTAAAAAGATCATCAACTCCTCTCTAGTGAGAGAGGTTTTTATTGCTATTATTGATTTTCTTGGTATGAGGGAAACTTCTACTTTTTAATTGTATAATATAAATATTTAAAAATTGTCATTTTCCATCTGCATTTGCAAACAAAGTTCATATAGCTACCATTTGGTTTGTTTCTCAGCAAACTGATCTTTACGAGGAAGAAAAAACCCATTGTGGACTTCAGTCACTCTACTAGGTAATACAATTTTCAGCTTTTTAGTAGAAGTCTGGTGCATAGTATTCAGATCAACAGAGATAATAGTTCCACTGGGCATGAGAGCCTTCTTCAAATATTTAAAGAGCTAAATCAATTATTTTAGAGCCTAAAAGATAATTTGACAAAGGGCATGATTGGGTAATTCACAAAAGAAGAAATAAAAATGGCCAGTAAATATGTCAAAAAGTATTTAACCTCACTTAAGTTAAAAGAGAATAGACTCTTTGGGGGCACCAAACTGGCAAAGATGGAAAACAAATTAATGCCTCTTCTTGGTGAGGCTAAGGGTAAATACACTTTCTGTGTCATCAGAAAGTAAATTGGTACAACTTTTCTGGGGATAGTTTTACAGATATCTATCAAAGCCTTAAAACTTTGCATATTTTTAACCTAGTATTCTAATCCAAGAATTATCATAAGGAAATAATTTATGTACAAGATGTTCATATTAATGTTATTATAATAAAATCTGGAAATAATCTAGCCACCTAATGGGATTTTAAAAATAAGTTGTGGAATGGGGCTGGCCCCGTGGCCGAGCGGTTAAGTTCGCGCGCTCTGCTGCAGGCGGCCCAGTGTTTCGTTGGTTCGAATCCTGGGCGCGGACATGACACTGCTCATCAAACCACGCTGAGGCAGCGTCCCACATGCCACAACTAGAAGGACCCACAACAAAGAATATACAACTATGTACCGGGGGGCTTTGGGGAGAAAAAGGAAAAAATAAAATCTTTAAAAAAAAAAAAAAAATAATAAGTTGTGGAAGAAAGGTTATATATGCTACAGCCACATGCTAGAATTCCATGTTGCTATTATAGTCGCGTTTTAGAAGAATATGTGGGAGAGGAAAACATTTGTTGCATGTTAAGGAGAAAGCAGGTTAAGGAGGTATATCCAGCATGGTTCTGTTGTTAGCTCTGGGTTGTTAGATTATAGGTAATTTTTACTTTCTCATTTACGCTTTTTAGTTTTTTCTAAATTTTCTACCGTGAACCTGTTTATTCAGAAAAAGTTATATAAAATTAAATTCACATACTTGAAAAGCTGTCATGTGAAAGCAGCAACCTTATGTTCTATTTTGATTTGACATAATGAAGAACTTTCTGAGAGTTAGAAGTCATTTGCAGAGGAGCAAACAGGATTTTTCCAGAACTTAGATACTCTGTGATGGGAATCTTACAGGTCTACATGTGTGGGGTGATCAGTTGAACTTGAGGGAATTTAAGTTTCCTTTTATGATCTATGATCCATTTACGACACCTGGCTCTGCTTGCTAGCTGTGAAGAATCCAGCAGTCTGTTTTATAAATATAGTGCTTAGTACTAGAAAATTGCACACAGTTAGTATGCTCATTAGATCAGTAGCTTTCAAATTTTTTGGTCCAAGATCCATAGCTAGGAATATCTTTTACAATATTGTGACCTACACTACACACTCGTAGGAAACAAGTATCATAAAACAACTTCACTATCATGATCTGCTGTGATCTTTTCTATTCTACTCAATCTTGATTTTTTTAAGTGCTGGTCGTGACCTATTAAATTGATTTCACAATTTAATTCACAGCCTGCAGTTTCAAAAACCCTGGACTGAGTGCTCTTGAGCTTTGCTATGGTGCTGTTCTTAGAAGCCTGTCGACCAGTGGCTTCCCTGCTCTAGTTGCCTTCAAGGGCGGTGGGACAAGTTGGCAGGATTTATGCTGAATTCTTTTCTGGGACAATAGCAAGGATCCAGTGTATTGGCAGTTATGCTCTTTGTCAATGTTAGGACTTCAGATAAAATATATCCAAAATTCACATGCATAGTAATAAGTTCTTTTGTAGAGCTCAAAATACCGACTTCAAAACAATCTTGATCAATAGATTTTTTGCCGCCAAGTACTTTGTTGAGTTCCTTTCCTTTTGCTCCATGACAACACTGAAGATCATCTTGTTACCCTAAAAGATCCTTCAAATTCTACTTCAGATAATTGCACTATTTATACAGTGTCTAGCACAGGATATTCATAAATGAATTTAATTAATTGCTTAGTTCAATTTGAAAAACATAATTCTAGAAGTCACTTTCCTTTATTGATCAGACTTTCAGAGAAGAGAGTAAGAAGAGCCTAACTGTTTCTTTGTGTTGATGATAGACAAATAATGTTAGAAGACCAAATCTTTAATCTTAAAGGTGATTATGAGAGTGCTGTCATAATCATCAAAGATAATGACCTTTTTTTTAAAAGATTGTAAACTTAGAAATTCATGATTTCAAATAAGACTAAAAGTCAAAATAATCATAGGAAATTCCAGTTCCATTGTGATCTAGTTGTGTGACCTTGGGCAAGTTACAAAGTTAAAAGTTCTCATGCATGAAATAGAGATAATAATAGTAGCCATTTCAAGCTTATTGTGAGGATTAGTTAGTTGAGTTAATATATTGAAGAAGACCCAGAAAGATGTCTGGCACACAGTAAGCGCCCATATGAGTGTTTGTTAGTATTAACATGTAAGCAGCAAAAACATTTTTAAAAATAGCATTTTATCCTTAATTGGAATAGGATAACACTGTTTAAACTAGATGGAAATATATGGCAAATGGAATGATCTCTCTAAAAATCCTTTTTAAAATGTTGACAACCTTGATTGAATTAAGGAGCTTAAACAGAATTAGAATAATATTGGAAAGAAATTGTGGTTCAGCAAAATATTACAGAGATCAAGAGATTCTTTCCTGGGCATTCACCTGCAGCATTGCAGCGTGGAGAAGTGAGTGGGGAAACATCAGCTCTGAGGTTATGATGAAATTTTCCTGTGACACACAGTTAAAGACTTGTAATAGCACCTGGCACATGGTATATATTCAATAAACGTTACCTATTATTTTTACTATTACCATTTCATTGTTGATAAAATTAAAGGCATTTATATTCTGTGTTTCAGATTGGCTAGGTGGTAAATGCTGTCAAGTTACTTGACTCAGGAATAAACTACCCGATATTGCGCATTTTTCTTTCTCTTTGTGGCTGGTTGAGAGAAAGACTGGCTTTTACGAGCTACCAGATCTAAAGACCCTGTTTCCAAGGACAAAGATAGAAAAGCAAAGTGAAGAAAGACAAAAAATATCTTTGTTAGAGGAAGTGACCAACAAAACAACATCTTTGAAAAGTTGTTCTTGAAGGATGAGCCCTTGACAAGAAAAGACCACACTTACCAGAGATGGGGGTGTAGAGTTGGGTGGAAATCACATCAAAAATCTAGTTATCAAATGTATTGCTCAAAGGAGAGGAAAGTTTTAATTTCCTGAAGGTTTCTATCCCATTTCCTGTCGATCATTGCTACCCTTTTCTTCTCTCCCTCTCCCAAATTCTGTACACATGCAGATCTTATGTATGAAGTTTCCACTCTTGAAATTTACCTGCCCTGTATCTTTTGTCCTTCAAAGTGTCAATGAACTACTTCATGATAAATTCATCCATTAAAAGAAAATGAAATTCAGGGCACTATTGTTATATGTTTTAATTAGGAGATTCTGAATACAGTGCCCGAATATTAAGCCCATTAGTTCAACTCTACTGAGGACATTTCAAAGTATGAAGTTCATTGGAAAGAAATATTTCTTGTACCTCACTCTCTCTGTGTGAGAATATGCATTTGCATGGTTTCCTTTGTCTTGTTGTAGAATCTGTTCCCTGTTTAAACACCTGATTATTCCTTTGATTGGACACTCGAGAATATAGCACTTTCTTGTTAGGCTAGTATAGGGAGGGTGTTCATTTTACCATCTATAACATGAACATTATTACTATGGTTCCTTGGACTTATGTGGTAGCTTTCTACTATAAAAGCTTATTTGTCTGTGGAAAATTATTATGGATATTATGTAAAATGATTATTTTTCTAGTTGCTATTATTCCTTTCTTAGAAGCACGGATAGACAAGACTTTTAAGATTTAATTCTGTCCTGGAAAAATAGCTTCTTTTGGCACACTCAATTTTGTGATATGAACTGAGCTTTTCCCTTAATTTTCCACTACAAATTGTGTAACTGTCCTATTAAAACTAAATAAATATTTTAAATTGTATAGCGGATTATTGTGCTTTAATTTGTTTTGGGCCCTTTTTATGGTTATTGAGACGTTTACAGGGATTTTATAGGTATTTACATTTTATATATGTGTATATATTTAATCATGGTAGGTATAAATTACTCTTGTTAGTTAAAACAACCTCACTATTACCCAAATAAACATTTTTTTAAAGCCCCATTTGAGTGAGAAAACATTGAATGATCCTGAAACCATCTGGCTCGCTGAGAACTTTGGTCTGAAATGAAAGCCTGTTTCCCCGTCCTACCTTTCCTAGTGTTTTTAAGGAGAGGCAGACTCTAGTACTGATTCATTTTTTTTGCAACGTTTTATTTAAATGTTAAAAAATTTATATTTAGAAGTGTTCAGTCTCATGTTTTTGGACAATAGGATGATTTAGTTGCTTTGCTATAAAAGTAATCTCTTCAATGTAGAAAAATTCGTTATTGATCTAGGGATTTTCATTTTTCAAAATTTTCACAGTCTGACCCCCAAATTCTAATTTTATTACTAGTTATTGACATGGCTATGTGCCTGTAATATCAGATCATCCACATCTTTTTACTTTCTCCTTTCTTTTATACGGTAAAAGGCCCTGTTTAGTGTGTGTGATGATATGATATTTAATATACATACAAATGTTTTATTCTCAGGTACCTGGCCTCTACTGCATTTGTTATTTAGGTTGAAGTCTATGCTCATTTTTTAAAAGTGTTTTATACAGATATTACTTTAATTCACTTGACTGCAAAGGGATATAAGTCGAAAGAAAAGGTCTAAGCTATTTAGAATTAATTTGAGATGTAGTTCCCATTGTTGCGGATATTTCCTTTATATTTTCCTGCATTGGGTAATGATACTAATCCATAAAATAACTTTAAAATCCATCATGCATCATTAAATTCATTTATGTTTCATTTATGTTTAAATAAATTTAGCCTATATACTGAAGCACTTGGTACTTTTTGTGGACTGTAAAGTAATTTATGTATATATTTTTAATGTTGCCTCAAGGTTGACTTTAATTTAGATACTTCGAATAAGGCCACATTAAGAAACTTTGTTGCAGAGTATTGTAAGATTGGTAATTATGTTTTTTTAAAAAATTGAGAAATGCGATCTCTTGTACATTGATGTATTAAAACATTAGAAACTATATTAAGAAGTGTATGAAATTCTTTATTACAGGAGTCCAAGTCATTATGGTGGTGGCATTACGATGTAGTTTAATAGTAATCTAAACATATTATCTTTACCCAACATATTTTGCTGCTGAGAAATCATTAAGACCTTACATTGTTGGAATTACAGCTGCGTTGTATCATCAGATTGAACTTGGCTTATTTACAGCACAGTACAAATGGCCTGTCTCAGAAAGCTTGAAAAAGGAACCCAAACACAAATACTATGTTTTGAATAAGCTTTTAGACGTATGGGTCATTTCTATGGGAATTATTTCAATGAATATAGCTTCTGTTTCTTCCAATTTTATCTTACTT